AGAAGATGGTAATTTCTCATCTGTCATCACAGTACCCTTGAATGGCCTACAAAAATGCAGATAACTTCATGCATACAGTGAGCTAAACTCATTTTGCTGATGCATGTGTAATTTTGTCCTGTAAATTCCCATGCTATAGCCACTGGATACTGAAAACGAATCTGCAGATGGTTTAAACAAAGGTGATGGTTGGTTTTAGGACAATGTGTTGTTCCTCTGCCATCTAGGACATGTGGATTGTCCCTCACAAAAGCAGTTACCTGGTTTCTAAATCTATTGTGCTGAATAAGAACATTTCTCAAATATGGAAACTCACTAATGGAACACTGAGCAACTGGCATTTAGAAAATCTCCTAACTTGAACTCAGGATATGAAAGGGCAATATCATTATGCATGCACCCAGGGAACTATTGATGTAAAACCTGTGTGCTGTCTCAGTACAGTATATAAATATATAGAATCTCAAACACTGTATATCCAACATAACCATTAGGAAGGATACATCTTAATCTGTGCAGCAATACTCACTGTTTAAAGATAATAGTTTTAATCCCACTTTAATACCTATGCATAGAGTTATACAGTAGGTATAGTGTGGGGAGTTAAGTTAGGAGGTAAGTATTTTTTACAAAGCTGCACTAAATTGTTCCACTCTTAAAACTATAGCATTTTTTAACAAGTTGTTAAATAGAACTGTTGCATATTCTAAATGTATTTTATCTGCTTAACTTTAAGGTTGTGCTATAATAATAATAATAATAATAATAATAATAATAATAATAATAATTCCTTACACTTATAGAGCACTTTTCTGGACACTCCACTCAAAGCGCCTTACAGGTAATGGGGACTCCCCGCCACCACCACCAATGTGCAGCCCCACCTGGATGATGTGACGGCAGCCATAGTGCGCCAGAACACTCACATCAGCTATCAGTGGGGAGGAGAGCAGAGTAATGAAGCCAATTCATAGATATTAGTTTTACCATCATTTAAAAAGCTACATTCTCAAGTGTGTTGGATATTTAACATGTTGGAAAACATTTGATCTCAGATCACTGGTTCTTATCAGTTGGTAGTACTCTAGTGATAGTGGATGAATAAACCCTGTGACATTGTAACATTCCCAAGTCCCTTAATTCTCTTTCATTTAGATAAGCCATAACTGTTGTATGATTAAAATCAGTAAACTTGTGAGCCTTTCAAGTATGCAGACATCACATGTGCAAGCTTAGAAGCATCACCACACATGTTGTCACATGTTTTGAAACTTGGATGGAAATGAAGAGTTATTGTAGATAATACTCGAGTAAGTTAACTGCTTAGTGTTTCACAATTTTCAGAGGTTAAATGTATTGCATATTACACCATTGATTTTAAGAAGTGTATGAAAATGTTTTTAAAATAGGAAGCAGATAAATTATGTTGCAGACCTGGTAGAGAATATTTCATTCAATACCAAGAACATACGAAAAACTATTACTTCAACTTTTAAATCAGTTGTAAATGGAAAATGTAAATCAGATGATCCCATGTACAAAATATGTGTACTACTGAGACCAACCAAACTCAAAATGGTCTAAGGCTTTCAAATATTAGAGGCATTCCAGACTAGCTATATCGCTTGTCTCCTGTTGGTTTCAATAATAGCTGGAAAATGCTGATTAGATGCTTCAGAATTAATCCAGTGAGGAAAGCATAGGATAAAAAGCAGACTACGGTGACGTAGAGAAATAATCTAGCTAGTGATTAACTGGAGACCTGAGTTGACACTGCTTTCCTGCAGAGCTCCTCTCCTTAGTGCCTTATGCATCTGCTTACACTGCCTCTTTAAGAGAGATTATTCTGAATCAATCCTCATTTCGAGTAAAATTATTTGATAACTGTAGAAACATAACTCTTATTTACAATAATAATTTAAAAAAGGATTAAATTTTTCTTCTCTATAAGCAAAGGAAACCAAGAATACAGTTCTGAGTCAAAGGATATGAGCTCCACAGTTTAAATATTTATAGGAATAATTAAGGGGGCAAACGAGACTCGATGGCATCCAACCCAAACACAATCTTGCAACAAAATCCAGCTGAAATCTCAGAAAGAGTGAGTCTTACATCATTAAGGACACTATGTTAGTGCCCTTTACAAAATATGAACCATCAGAGAAAGTTTTGGAAGCCAAATTTAAATACCAAAGATTTCAAGAAAACCCCATTAAATTTGCTTCCACATGAGAACTTTCTAAATACACATTTTTTTCAGTCTATACAACTGTCAAAACTACAAATAAAAATACCCTCAATACATAGAGCACATAGTTCCACAGAACTACTAAAGTGCAGAAGTGGTCCAGATGTACCCAACAGGGCCGGACTTTACTTGCTTGCATTGTTTGCTGATATCACACCAAACTGAATCCCTCATACTGTTCTATGGCCTGGGTGAGCCTTTTCCTGAGGATCTCTTTGGTCTTGTAGCGGGGCATGTCCAGCAGGTTATAGCAGGTGTGAGCTACTGGCAGGTAGTGCTCCTCTGCTGATGTTGATTGAATCACAACTCGCAGGCTCTCCATGCCATAAATGGGAATGCGATCACTGCCTGTGAGGAACACTGAGGAGAAAAACAAGACAATGTTTCTGTAGGACATGCAGAAAGCTTCAATACAAAGCCACAGTTTGAATACAACCTTGTACTTGACACAGGACTTGTTCAGAATTTCTGGGAGCCGTAAAGAAACAGCTGTGTGTTGTTAGATCAATATGTGCTTAGCAACCAAATGAGGAAAACCAAATGGCCTCATCTTGTTTCTGATATCTTTTTATGCTGCTTTTAATCCTGTTCAAAAAATAAATTAAAAATTAAATTGATATTTTAAAGTTGTTCTTTAATCTCTCTCTGATTTTGCTCAAATTGATTGTAGCAAAAATATAACCCAAGTACTTCAAAATATCCAATATGTGCTTTAATACTACACTAGAACATCTGAGGCCACTGCATGCGAGTACAGAGTAACCCATACAACAGACTTGTGTATGCACAAGGCCAAGAGAAACTGTACATTGTGTTCATCTGGAAGCAACACGTAGCTATAACACGCAAAAGTGAAATAATTTATTGAAATTTGCTCTGAGTAGAATTTGTTCTGAATTAGGTTAAAGTGTTAATTTCATAAAACCTGACTCCAGAAATCAATGGGTGAAAAACAGAAGGGCTCTGGGCTGTCAATTAAAACTCTGCTATGATGAAAAACAACTCATTCTGCCTCTGCGTTGTGTGCCTTGCTCATGAAACAGCTCCCAGCCTCTCGGCAATCTTCCAAAAAGAGTAAGTAGAGCCATTTGGTGGTAAAATGACTTAGTAATCACTTATTTCTTTAAACAGATAACCTACAGTATAAACACTTTGATATAGTACCTGACTTAAGGTGTGTCAGAGAGCATAGGCTGTATAAAGCAACCTTCTACAATAACCATTAGATATACAGTAGTAAGAACAGTAAGATCAAACGCAGAACTAATAAGTAAAGAACTCAGTTATGAGGGCAAAATATTTAATAAAAATAATGAAAATGTGGCAGCAGACTCAAATCCACTTACACAGGAATTGTTTTTTCTTTTCCAGTGGAAATTCATGGAAGACCTCCCAGAACATCTTCACTGTGGGGTGAGTGGCTGAATATTCACCTTTGTAAACTGCATTCTGCAACAGAGAAAGAACTCCTGTAAGCTCAGTGCTTTAAGGAATATATTAAGATTTTATGTAAGCAAAGTAGAGAACCTTAATCACCTAGAAATAGCATAAAAAATACTATTACTTAAAAACAGGATTTACATACAAATACAGTCAAAACATGTTATAGTATATTAAGGAACCTGAAGAACAGTGAACACCTCAGGTGATGAATTACAAAGTGTGAACAAAGATGACCTTCTTGTTTTCAATAAATTGTGAAAAACATTGTTCTGTGCAATGCTATTATGTGTACTGTAGAATAGTATTAGAAGTGAGACACATACACCAGTCTGTAACACAGCAATGCAAATCATCACATAGCATGTTGTATTTCACTTTGTTTTACATGATAAATGATAAATTGGGATTACATTAAGATTACAAATCCCAAACTACACAGGCACATTTCTTACAGCACTATACAGTAAAAGGAGAAGATTGAAAACTTTTAAATAACTTTTAATGGAGTCACGCATTTCTGCTCAGAGCTACTCTTTTACCTTTATTGATGTGTGACTCACACACATTCTATTGATTTAGAGTGACATTTTGAGCTCTCTTCTCTTAAAGGAAATGCACAAGTTTAGTCTGATGTTTATATGCACCACATCTTCATCATTGCACAGATGACACCAGGACGGTAAACAGTGCAGACAGCAAGAGTGCATATTTTTTCTATTTCAGAACAGAAAAACCATACAGCTGTCAAACTTTGTTAAAACAGGCAGTAAAAAGAGAACAAAAGAGTATAGGACACAAAAGACACAAAACAAGAAGCATATACATTTATGGCACGACTGACAGCAAAGCCTTGCATGGATGTAATCCTAGAGTCAGATTAACATATATACAGTAAATAGGATGGGCAAACATTCAAGGTGAAAATTCTTCCATGAGGAGGATACCTCGACAGCACTGAAAATTTTCGACGCTCCCTCTCTTTAAAGCCCTGGCCAAATACTCAGAGAGTATGTACAGTTAAAATTCAAACTGAATTAAAAACTACACATCTCAGTTAACATGGCAGTATTCCTATATTCCTGTAATGCCTAAGATTGTATTTCACTTTTTCCAATATTAAATAATATGTAATTTTTCTAATAGTGTGCACGAGTAGTGGGTAGTCCGCTCCTAAGTCAGCACAATCAGGCATCTTGCCAATAGAGCAGCCAAGGTTAGGGTATCACATTGTTATTTAGACTAGTGTTGTTGGGCAAAACGCCAAAGATAGCTGGTGTTAAGGAAGATGCAATACGTTTTTCCAAAACTGAAGACCAAAATGGGATCAACTTTTTACAGGCCAAATGCATATGAAACAGGGAAACGTGTTCACCAATGCACTGGTAATAAGTTGGATTAGCATCATGGTAGATGTAACGCTGAGTACAGACTGGTGAGGACTACAGGTATACCCTCCACAGAACAGGCTGAGCTAATGCTCCTTCTACCAGGAAACCTATTCACTATCCACTAAAAGTGAGGTTAAATGCTACTGAAAATATCCTATGTACAGTATGCTGAAAAATGTGTACAGTACCCTTCCTTTAATTAATCTAGTCTAATTAGTGGAAACTACAGAGGGAAGAACAGTTTAAAAACAACAAGAATGACAATAATAATAATTTGTTAGACTTATATAGCGCTTTTCTGGACACTCCAATTCAAAGCTCTTTACAGGTAATCGGGACTACCCTAAAGTACCACCAATGTGTAGCCCCATGTTACGTCCCAGTGTGTGGTCCATTTGTGTTTTTGTTGCTATGTTCCACACTTCCTGACCTTGATTGTTCTCTCTCCCCCATTGGTCCATCATTACACCATTCTTTCCATTGGTCCATCATTACACCATTCTTTCCGTATTACATCATCATCAATTAGCTTCTCGGCCAATAAGAACTCAGCTTATTTGGTATATAACTTGGAGGTTATCTGAATGAAGGGGCCTTTTGTTTGAACTTGGTCCTGCTCGGCACAGCTTTGGTTTTGCTTCGCTTCTTCCGTGTGTGTTTTCGTAAAGCTTCGGCTTTGTTGTTTTGTGTTTGTCTCCTCGTACTTTCGTTTGTTTGTGTGTTTATCCTTGTTTAGCCCTTACCTTGCCCAAACGTATTATATCAACATCTGTGTTCTTTTGTACCCTGTTACTTGTGTCTACTCTCATTTGTATTCGTAGTTCACTTGTGTATTTGTATGAACTTTTGTGTATTGGGTAAGTTTAGGTTGTCGGGTACATTATACACACATAGTTGGTGGTCTCTGTATTAGTAACACTAGTTTAGTACAGGTGAGTGCCGTTTTGTCTTTTATGGTTTTGGGTAGTCAGTGAAGGTTAGCTAGGGCGTTTGGAGACGCCAAAGACTATGTGTTTCGGGTTTTCTTTTGTAGTTAGGTCAGCTTCCCTCACTCTTAGCCAGTTCCATTTTGTTTTCTTTTCTTTGGCACCACTCTAGTTCCCTACCCCTGTGTGTTATTGTGTCTTATTACGTACCAGTCACTTATTCACCTTAAAATAATCACTTTTGCACTAACGCTTATCACGCTTCCTAAGTCCCTCACCAGAACCCACCTACATCCAAAAACTATCCTAAATGTTACACCCCTTTACCCCTAGACACTTGGGGTTGGAACATTTTTGGGGGCTCGTCTGGGATATCAAATTCTTGTGCTAAGGATTTTTTTTTTTTGGTTGCAGAATTTTGGTGTTTATACTTTCGTGCATTTTGGGACTGGTTAGCATCATTTGGTATTTTTTTGTGAAATAAGGACTGGTTTAGGATTCTGAGATTTGGATTGTGTTTTTTTGGCAAGGTAATTAAGGCTACTTTTAATTCACGAATGTCTGTGGAACCTTCCTTTGAGCAGCTGGACAGGTGTAGGAAGGACAAATTGCTTCAAACTGCAGATCACTTCTGGATTCAGGTATCGACGCAAGCTCTTAATAGGGACATCAAGAGAGCTGCGATTGATAAATTGGTGGAATTAGAGGTCTTTGCACTAGCGAGCAAGGACGCTGGTTCTCCTGGGGCTGGTGCTAAACCTGCTATTGTTGTGGAAGAACAGGATGAGGTGCAGGTGGTGGCTGAAGACTTAGTGGAGGCTGAGGTCAAGGCCACATCACCTCCCTTTGAACCATTCTCTCTGGTCTCCACTGGGTCGAAAGATGAGATTCGCCTGAAAGTTCGTCTGGCCCGTTTGCAAATGGAGGTGCAGGACAAAGCCCAGGCACACCAGGTAGAATTTGAGTTGCGCCTTGCAATTCGTAAAATGGAGATTGAGGCGGAGAAAAGTTAAGCTCCGACAGCTTGAATTAGAAGCAAGAAGGAATGCTCCTGCTGCGCAGCTGACACACTCTGAGGCCTCTAACATGTCTCCTTTGCAAGATCCACTCTTGACCACCTTCGATGTAAGTAAGCAGATTGCTTTAGTTCCTCTATTCAGGGAGTCGGAAGTGATTCGTACTTTGGTGCATTCGAGCGAATTGCCACATCACTTCGCTGGCCTAAGGAGGTCTGGTCACTGCTTTTGTAGTGTAGACTAGTGGGTAAAGCTCAAGATGTTTGCTCTACACTTTCTCTGGAAGAAAGTTTGCATCGCGATATTGTGAAAGCTGCTATATTACGGGCTTACGAATTAGTTCGTAGTTCTGGATGATGCGTCGGCAGCCATAGTGCACCAGTACACTCACCACGCATCAGCTATCAGTAGGAGGAGAACAGAGTGATGAAGCCAATTCATAGATGTGGAATTTTAGGAGACCATGATTGGTAAAGGCCAATGGGAAATTTGGCCAGGACGCTGGGGTTACACCCCTACTCTTTTCAAGAAACATCCTGGGGTTTTTAATGACCGCAGAACAAGGTTCCAACTCTGGTTTTCCTTCTGATCCAAAGTCTGGCCCCCTTATACAGTACAGTGTCCCCGTCACTATACTGGGGCATTAGGACCAAAACAGACCACAGGCAAGGCAAATCTTGTCTCATCATATGCAACAGAAGGAGACAGAAGGTTAATATATGGATACAGAAAACAAGGCCAAATATACATTCATTCATGCTAAATGGGACATGGGACATTAGACAGATAAGGCAGAAGAACTTAAATTACACTATTGCAAGGGTTACCCAGGGAGCCTTTTCCATGATTTCATGAACTTTACAACTCTTACCTTTTCCATCTCCTCCCAGTTATAGTTATTGTTTCCCACTACCATGGCCATGAGTTCGGAGGGCTGAAAGAGTGACAGGACCTTCCCTCCACAGACCTTCAGGAAACCGCTGGAGAAAGCAGTGTACAGCTCCTTCACAGAGTCATTGAAAACATAGTTCAGGTAGGCTTGTACAAACTCCTCCCTGAAAACAATACGACAAGAAATAACTTCTCACCAGCAAGCCTCTACTCATCAGGCACTGCACTTAAAACAGTGAATATGAACTGTTATCACAAGACAGGCCATTGTGCGATACCAGTCAAATAATGAATGGAATGGAAAGAAAATGAGGTGAAGATGTTTGACACTTTATGGTTCCATTTTAGTTTTCTTAATATTTCCATTTCTTCCAAACCTGCTTTTATGGCTGTTTATTCATATGAGGACAATTTGTTAAAAGCTTAAAAGCTATTAGTTAATACTAATAAAAATGTTTGACGTTTTTTAACAGTAAATGTAAAATAAATACAGTCATCTGCATCTAAAAGAACAATGGGTTGTGGTTTCCAACCAATTTTGTAGTCATTCAATGCTGGTCTGATTCCTAATAAACTCCTCCCTTTTAAAAACTCATACACAACCTGCATCAATACAGTACATGTATGCATAACAAAGTAAAAATATTTTGAAAAGCCAGTCTGATATCAGGAGATGTTTTAATTTAATTACAAATATTGCACAGCAATATGGCTAAAAAACAGTCGTCTTTTATTATTGGGTAAAGGAACACCACGATCACCTGGCTAACTATTAACCTGGATAACCTGGATCTGCAGCACACAAATTGCATGCATATCATAAAAATGAAAGAAAAAAAACAGACCATTTCTAATTCAGATGCTAGGACTTTGGAAATGTAGAAAAGCTTCTTCAAAAAGTTAAGACCTAAAATATTTGTAAAATTCCTATAACAACGCTTTTTAGGTCACAATTATTTTATAAAACAATTTTGGCTGCAGGATTTGGTCCTTCATACGATAATGTGAACATCTTAGGTCAAGTTGTTTGTTCCAAAATGTGAGTTCTTAAAATGAATGCCATACAAATATTATCACACAACTGTCTACCAACATGACCTTTTCACCAGCATCAATACTATGTGTATGTTTACATGTTCTGACTGCCCTTAACAAAGGTAAAAGGCACTTTGAGACGTCTCAATTTTGCATGGTTAAAATACATAATTTTGTATTAAAATACCTACTTAATACACTAGGTCTACAGTGTAACTATGGATTTTATCTAGTGAATACAATTAAAACATTTTGTGTGCAGTTTCTTGGGGAAAAGGTTTTTTTAACAGAATCTTAATCTTAAATCTAATCTTTAACTTTTTTCAAGCAATAAACTCCAAACTACAGTGCTTTTTTTTTAAAAAAAAAAACAACTTTCAAGCTCTCTTACCAGCTCTTTTAGCTGAAATACAATATCATACGTTCCAAACTGGTTGTTTCAGCACATACAGTATGTAGTTAGAAAGAAGGTTAAAAGGTTAAATATTGATGAGTCACCGGGACATTGCCTTGAAAAAAGTTGACCTAATAAAGGCTACAAACATCCTACTGTTTCATTTTTTTTTCACAGAAAGACGGAGACAGTTCTTATACAGAAAACCAACATAGAGAATGACCTGGAGTCTGGAATGCAGCAAAAAAGTGGAACATCAAATCATCTTCTTTGCAATGTGGCTTAAGAGAGGGTGTGATTAGGGTAACATCTCCAGCTTGTTCCATTACTCACAAGCAGGAGACAAGCAAAGACATCTCTGTGCTATCACATGCGCATTTGTTCTAAAGTAAATAATCTTCTCACATCAGTTACAGTACTGCAAACTGTATTACAACTGATAATCTGTCACTGTTTAATGGAATGTAATCCTTTGAAGAGATCCACTTAATGCTGCAGTGGTTAGCCCAAGTAGTTCTCTGTAGGTCTGACACTGTGTGAACTGGTAACACTACATCATGTAAGAAAGTTGGAAACCTCTGTGAATGTTTTTGTAGGTATTACCGGTTTCGTTCACAAGTGAAACAAAGCAAAAGGACTAAAATAACTTTGATGATTTCACGTGTTGTGCTGGACTGCAGAAATGCACTCATGCACTGCATTAACAGTGCAGGCTGAGCTTCAGATTTGGAAAAGTTAGTATAACTGATACCCTGAATATGCATCAAGGAAAATCCAAATAAAGGAATAGAGTGAGAAATGTCTGGGTCACTGACCGATTGTAAGCTAAACTAATTCCAGCATCTGCCCAAACTAATATAGCTATGTTACATTTATATTCTTTGTGACACAAAGTTTATTTTGAAGACATAATACTCTGGCTGTTGCCAGCATTCCTTAATTTTGATTCCACTGTCAATATGAAAACAAACAACCTGCATTTAAAATGGATCTTTTGTGAAGCTGCCAAGAAACATTACTAATTTTGGCAGAATTTAGTATTTAAATCTTGGCCCTCTGGATTTACATCTCAAGCAAAGCTAGAATGTGAAATTTTAATTAGGATTTTGTGTGCCTGCTCTGGTGTTCTGCATTTGTGAACATCCAGTCCCATCTGTTTAAATCAATCTGAAAAAAATCTAAAGAAAAAAATGATATATTTTATGGAGAAGATAAATAAAATAAATATGACTATTATGATAACTGATAAATTCATTAAAATAAATATGACTATTTTGTTAATAGAATGACCTTTATATAAAATATATTTGAATATTTTTATCAGGAAACTTTAGGTGAAATAAATATGCAACTTAATGCAAATTGAAACATTTTTAATATAATTAAAAATGGGACAGCTCAACACAAAAAGTTAAGTTTGTGTGACCAATATTCTAAGACACATAAAGCAATTAATAAACACTGTTGAAAAAAGTGAATGTAATTTAAAGTTCATTCACATGGGAACAGCACAACTCTGATGGCTTCTAACAAGACAGTACCTGCACATACCTGAAGTGTTTATGGGACATGCCTTAAAATAGTGATGTATAATAAACTGCTTATTATGTTCACATTGTTCTGTATTGTTATCTGGTGCAGTACATATTTATATATGAGAATGAATATGTAATTTGGTGTAAATTGCTTTTCTATTTTTTATTAGTTATCTTCTGGTCTTTTCTGTTCTGCATTCACAACATTGCTTTGTTAAGCGCCTTGGGGCAACCTTGTTGTGAAAGGTGCTATATAAAAATCAATGGAATTGATTTGAATTTGGAGATCCACAATTTCATGCATAAATTACATAGCAGTCGATATTCATGATGTAAGCATTAATTTTCATTTTATTTCTTATTTACTTATTTTGCAAGGATGAATTTTCTGTTGGATGCAATGTCCCCCCCAAAATTGGCTCGTTTCTTTTATAAAAAAAAGTTCAATAGTTAAACGACAAAATAATTTCCTGGTTTTGCTTTTTTCCTACACCACGGTGCCTGATAAGGTTTTTGTAAAGAATACTGTGCCAAGGGAAGCCCTAGTAGTGACTTATCTAGTAGCAAAGCTCCCACAGATGGGCACTTAGAGGCAGCTCCTTCTAAACTCCTAATACAGGTAAAGCTCACAAGAGTGGCTCAAAGCTGACCAAGGCCTGACTGGTCGGGTGGGCAATAAGGTCTGTAAGGTTATCAGTTTGAACAGAGCTAGGTTCAGCACAGTCCTACAGTCATTATATGCAATGGAAATAGAACGAGCTGGCTTATTTGATCAGTATAAGGTGTTTTATTTAATTTAAAAAAAACAATCTTTTTAATAAATATAAATAGAATGTTCATTTCCTAGAGTGCAATACAGTAAATGGTGGTAAATCAAAGATTAGTTATTTGTAATAAATCTGGTATTATGGGAAAGACAGTTAAACTAAGCCAGGAAATAATACAAAAGAACAATTTTGCAATCTCCCATGGAATATCTCCACCATGGAAAATACACTGTCCTGCATATTTTTGTGAGCTTGGCAAATTTTATAGCATACAAGTTGTCCCAGTATACTCACCTGTTGTCCTTGTTCACTGTGATGTTTTCTCCTTCTTGGACAAGCTCCTTGACTTCAGTTAGTCCATAGTTTTCCCTTGTGATCTGTAAAGAGAAATATTTTAGGGCGGTGGATGGCTCTGTGGTTAAGGATCTGCACCTGTGGCTGGAAGGCTGATGGTTCGTATCCCGTGGCCGGCAGAGGAATCCTACTCTGTGTGGCCCCTGAGCAAGGCCCTTAACCCCAACTGCTCCAGGGGCGCCGTATAAATGGCTGACCCTGCGCTCTGACCCCAAGCTTCTCTCTCCCTGTCTGTGTCTGTCATGGAGAGCAAATTGGGGTATGCAAAAAAGACAAATTCCTAATACAAGAAATTGTATATGGCCAATAAACTGATCCTATCTTATCTTAAATCAACAAATATTTCATTTCTAATATTAGCCTGGCTGTTGGTTTTTCTTTTCACAAAGAATTTAATTTGAAACAGAAAGGTAATAGCATCTACAAGTAGAAAAAGGGGCCTTTTGCTTACACTACCTCACAGTTATTATTCATGGAACTGCTTTATATATTTCAAAGCCCTGTGATATTTAGCTTATTTGCTCTGCTTGTGCATAACCTAACAATGCTAATTTAATCATACGCATGATTTTTTCTTAAACACAACTTGTAACAAAACATTTAGAACAGTTTACTATAATTATTATTAATCCTAGTATAAAAAGAAATCCTGCACTCTTTTAAGTGCTTTGATCCAAATCCTAGAAGACATTTCAAAATGTAAGTGACTTCCATTACAGAGCAACACAACTATGAAATAGTTCCTAAAATTTCTAAAATATTTCCAGAAAACAGACAAAAGCACATAATAATAGTTGTCTTGACCCACGTTTATTTTTTTTACAAATGAAGTCAGCAATAAACTCCCACATGTTATTCATTCAAGTGTATAATTTGTGGCCTAATTTGTCCTAATTACAATTATCCTAGTCCCTTCTGCAAAGCGACCCCTCAAACACAAAATCTTCTGCCAACAATCTGTTGATCCTCATGTAGTGGCTACTCTTCACTGGTTACTCTCACATCTGCAGCTGCACCTTCAGAGATACCAAACTAGCAGTACTATAGTAACTTGAATTAATTATCTCAAAGTCTAATCAGCAAAACTCAAAGGACAAATCTGATTACCATGCTGCTTATCTAACTCTCTCATTTCCATGGATGAGAAACATTATACAATAGACAACAGACTTCGTTCTCATTGTTGGCAACAACTATATAGTTCCTTGTTTCAACAGAGCTGCTTAGCCATTTTTTTTTAAATACCACAATTTATCAAAAATAAATTTCCTCACCTTAAATTCTTTTGGAATATTGACAACATTTATTAGCAGGCACCTGAGTTGCTGCTAAATATAAAGTTCACCTCCCCAGGGCACTTGGACTTACGGCAAAATTCAGACAGAAGGACTCCTCCACATCATCCCCTTGATAATCCAGGAGTTGCTGAAGACTCCTGGAAAGAAAATGGCAGAAATAATAAGGAGCATTAGAAAACACTCTGACAACAAATTAATAGAAAGATATGGAAAGTGGTGTTATATTAGCTTTTCATAGGACTGCACATATGTTCAACACTTACTGCAGGCATAAAGACAAACACGAAAGATGTTATACTGTATGCACAAAATATTACAGTAAAATATGAGTAGCAGCCCCTGCAACAAGAAAGAGATGAAGGGCCTTTGTGTTAAAGGTCATTGCCGCTCAATGTATACCTTAACTTTAAGAAAGAAAATATATGATGATATAAAAATAAATGCCAAACAAATCTGTGTTCAGAAGCTTAGGATGAATTTGAACTCATGTGAAAGCTGTTACATTCAGTTCTTAATAGATCATCCTAAACATAAAGAGACTCTTGTTATAAAATTAATCAGTGCGTGACATGTTTAATTGGTGACAGACAGTAAGTCATTTGCTATTTTACTTCAGGGGCAACTCATCTTCAGCCATCCAACAGGATCGGTACCTCCGAGTATCATAACCATTTTTAAACCTACAATCAGACAGTTTAAAACCCTGGAGAGTGTTTCAGAAGGAAGCATACTATTTTAAACAGCTCTAGTGTTAAGTTACAGAACTGTGAGATCATCTACCAGCTGTGCCTGGATGAAAGGGACCTGCCTGAAAAGCCAGCGAAATGCAGATCTTCTGGAAATCATGCCAACATGTCAAGTAGAAATGTCATCAGCCATCTTATTTATGTTGGTCTGCACTTACTACAGCACCAATAATAGCCAATGATGAAAAGGATTTAGAGTTCCAGGAGAATATTTAATAGAAGACGATATCATGAATTGGAAAGCATGCCCTCTGGTGGACACTGCTGCTCTAGATTACCTCAAAAACAGTGGTTCCAATACCACAACATTAAGGAGAGGGTCGAATGTACTGATCCTCACAAAATTATACTATACCAAATACTAGAAGTATTTTTCTTTAAAGCCCTATACTAATTAAGAATAATGTGTTTACAATTTATCCCCGTACAAATGTATATGTCTTATAATTATAAACAATGTTTTTCAAAAAAAGATATGCTAATGTAAGGCAAAAATGCATCAAAGATGTCCTGCTTCAATTAATGGTGTTTTTTTACAAAACAGCAATGCAAAGCTTAATTTCACAACAAAATAACAGCTGTTAAATTTAAGTACAAAGGCAATGGTAAATTCCATGGGAGCAAAAACCAATGGATTTTATCATTTAAATCCTTTGGGAAATTAGAACCTTATATACTGGGGCTACCTCAAATTACACTCCTCATGAATAAAAAACATGAGTTATGTCAAGTTGCTGAAAAGCAAAAAATGCAGGGCAAGAATGTATTTGAGATTTGCCTCCCTAGTCACCTTAGAGCTGTTTTCTGTTTTCTAATTTAGAGATCAGTAAATGGTTGTACCACTTTCCCCTGGCCATCTGCAAACAATTAGCCCGTTAAATATTAACACAATTAATTAAGGAAGCATTTCAAAGTGCCTCAGCTGGTAAAAAATGTGCATAAAATACATGTGAAATTTCTACCAGGCAAATACCTAATAACAACCTTGCCCTTTATCCTTTTGCATATATGTTAAAGACAGAATTACTCTAAATTACTGGATATGGGAGTTTCACATTCCTGTTACGTTATGTATTACAATGTATTTGCTTAGAGGCTAACGTAAAAAAAATAGTTTTTGGAACACAATTCATAAAACTCAAGAAAAAATTAACATTAATACTCAAATTCTAACATTATCCCATTGGTGTGACACTAAAAGTAAAGCCGAGTACTGCATACAACTTAAAGAAATGTATGAATTGAAAAGTATGAAAACATTTTAATTTAAAAAAATAAAGCACAAAAACTGGTAACTGACATTTACATGACACTTTTGTGTCAACATTGTTTCATTAGCTGGAAGTCCATATGGTGGCCCCACTTTCTTGCACATGTGATTCATTCCTTCATAAAACATAAATGGAGGCATAACAGAAAATAATAAAAAAGTAACACGATAATACTAAAAGTCCTACTTCACAACACTCTGAATTAAGGTTATCAGGTAAATCTTTAACAGTGGAATGATAACAGAAAACTAACAAAAATGATATAATATGTTATTCCATCATATTGGATACAGTATGTGCATATTATTTGGCATATTTAAAACTGATTAGGCTCTAATGTAATTTACCAATTTTTTGAAAGTTTAATGAATATACCCATCTGCAAAACAACATGTTCACACACAGCCCTCAAATCCACACCTCACCCTCATTAGCATTAGGGCTTTGTGTATTTAACATGAGTTTGGAAATTTCCATTTGCTTAATATTTACCGTATCACATTTGCCTCAAGACTCCATTCTCCTACTTTTGTTCCCTGAGATTAGGTCCGAATTATTTCATGTGTTGACTTGCTAGGCTTCATGTTTCATTAATTTCTCTGAGCCGAAAGCAAATAATATGAACCAGTCAGCATGGGACTTGGACATCGATTTGTTTGGTTCAGTGAAAGGACTCCTTCAAAATGAATGGTTTGTGAACTTCACAGTTCTATTTGTCAGCATGATCTATGGTTAAGTGAAGATCTTACTTCCCAAACAGTTGCGCAGCCTAGAATGTTTTGTATGCAACACCTTCCAGAATATGTAAGAACATGCACACATACAGCTTGATGGCAACACACAAGACATGGTACTGTTCAAATTGGGGGGAAAATCTTTGGATGCTTTCATACTAGTCTTGACTGATGGAAGCTTTATTTTTCTGACCTCTCTCTGTCTTACTCAGACCATTTACTTTTACGTAAATTTAGGAACAAACAGTATTGATGGGTTGAAGATACCATACGGCATCTTTTCATATCATCCAGGTATGTGTGTGGGAGGTGGATGTACTGTACCTTCCTTCAGTGGGGGACAGTTCCTTCAGGTCCTCCAGAGAAGGAGGTACATCCAGCAGCTTCTTGTAGAGGGCCAAGGGGAAGTGCAGGTCTACCACAGTGGAGTTATAGATCGCCAGGCCGCATGTAATCCCAATGAGGTGGAACCAGTTGAGTTCAACAAAACACTGACCAAAAGCAAAGAGACATGAGCATTAAATCACAACTTTGCACTAAAGGCTCAAAATGGTAAGATGATAAATTACAAAACGTGTTTTTTTCCTGAAATATTGTCCTTACAACACACATTGAAATAAATGAAAAAAATATTGTGAGAAAATGTCACTCACAGTTGTACTGTATGGTTTGAATAAAAAATAACTTAAATAAACTAAAGTCACTTTAGTGGTTATAATACATTACAGCATCCTTCATCTTTTCCTAGAAGCCTTACAAGTAAGAACGGATTAGCAAACAGAAAACCACTTTTTGGAAAGTTTTAAGCTTTTACCTACTTCATAAAAATACAGCATTTAACACAATCTTATGAGTTTCTGCATAGAATAAAAAATAATACAAATTTATATTCAGTTTTACTCTGTATACATGATGTTTTAAGTGCATTTTGTAGTGAAGTAGTACAGTATGCCTTTGAACTCATGGAAGTTACGAGATCAAATTTGTGCTTCATACACTGATGTGTACCCCCAGAGAGGGGGTCTTTTTCCAGTTACTCCAGTCCACCCAGCTGTTTCAAAGGGGTCCAGCACTGTTGGGGATTTATCCCTATGATGGGCCAGCATGCCATCAAGTGGGGTGGGGGTATCACACGCTGTCTAGTCAAAAAGCAAGATGTCCAGTTTCTACAGAAAACAGGAGCTCTGGCCTGTTAAGCCACTGTAGCTCTGGCTGTGTTATGGACATTACCTTTACCAACGTTAGGTCACTACATACAGTATTTATTTAAATTTAATTCTGGCAAATGGATAATGGAAAGTCATTATCCTGCAAAAGGACTTGACTGTGAAACAAGGATATTAAATAAGAAATTAAGCTCTACATGCAAAAAATGTTTACATGCTAGGCACAAGCATCAACATGGAAAAATGTATTTGCTGCTCATTTAACTGCTATACATTACTGACCTTACTGTTTAATTTCAACTGCTTTACAGGTAGCCCACTTGTTACAGATAACTAAACTCATTATACTGAAGGATTTAAAAAACATTTCTGATACTGCTTTAATCAAATCCGATATCAGACTCAAATCAAACTTGCATTGGGTTCAGTTATTTCCACTGTTTGATCCATTCATCCATTTTCTAACACCTTCATCCTATTCAGGATTGCAGGGGAGCCAGAGTCTATCCCAACAAGCAATGGGCGAAAGGCAGGATACAACTTTGGTGGGACATCAGTCTATCACAGGGCAAACAGACACTCACACACTCACTCACACCAGGGACAAGTTTCCCAAGAAGCTAATTAAACTACCAACATTTCTTTGGATTGTGAAAGAAAACCGGAGCTCTTGGTCGTAAACTCACGTGAACACGGAGAAAATATAAAATTCCACACAGATACTGTAGCATCCCAGGTCTGGAACTGAACCCAGGGCCCCAGCGCTGCGAGGCAGCAATGCTAAGCACTGTACCATCTCGCCACCCCTACTCTCTTTCATATACAGTACTACTAATCTACAGTGAACTCTCAAGTATCATATTCTTCTCCATTGATCTGTTATTACTGTACTTTGTTTCTTCACAGCATTACTCACTTTGTCTGAGAACCAAAGAAGGTTTGATTCTTCGTAATGGGTGAACATTCCATAGACTGGATCCAGCAGTTCTTTGAGGAGCAGAAGGAAGAACTCTTTTGTTACCCCTCCTGCATCTACAGCCTCTTCTCCATCAAAAATGACCTGGAACCAAGACATTACTATTACAGAACAGGCCTTTCAGAGAAACACAATCACTGCCTTTGCAAAGAAGAAAATAAGTGAAAAGAGAAGAGTCCATACAGTATGTAAGTGCAAATGTTAGGTTTTCAGGAACAATTAAGGGAAGGAAAAACAAGTTTGATAATGTACAGTACCTGCGTAATCTGCTTGTGCCAGTATAAATTACTTTGTTGACTGATAATGCATCTTAGATTATTTTCCACACCAGACACCCATTTGTTCCCAAAGTGCTGACATTACCAGAAAACCACATCTGGGAAGTCTAAACATACTAGAAAGTGATGTAACAGCAACGAGGGGATCTGAAAACTGTAATGACATGTACCCAATAACCTACAATATTCCACACTATACCTTTCACAATCCACAACCTGCAAACATTTCTAAACAGATAACAGACAACTAGACAGGGAAGGAAGACTACTAATTTAGAATGCTATTATTAGTGTTAAGAAATGTGTTTTGAAATGTGTCAGTGTGAGGAACAAGTAAAATCCCACCCCGAAAAGAAAACGAAAGCAAAATATCAAATAATATCCAACAAAAATATAAAATGCTTAGGCTTTGGCTCAGGTGTACACTGAACACAGCAAAATTAAAACATTCTTGTTCCCCTGTGAAATAAAACTACTCAATGAAGGTATGTAAATGTAGTACCCCCATTATATATTTATTTATCCATTTATTCATCACATAATGTTGCTGTGATCTCATGTGATTTTATGTGACTGTTATGTTTTGCACTTCTGTGGGAGAAGCCAAAGACAAATTTCCACAGCAATGGACAATAAAGTATCTAAGAATAAATAACCAGGGTATAACAATGTACTCCAAAAATAGCACTGCATCCCGAATATACTGCAGTAAAAAATTCTCATGAACGGCTGAACCTCTTACAATGCTGAGGTTGTATATTATTCCTATAGTCCAAGGGTGAAAGAGATGATATCTGTACCACACCCATGGAAGAATGGTTTTTATACCATCTTGTGCATTCCATACCATGTATTAAACAAATGTATGAAACCAGCAGTCATATCACCCTGCAGCTCACTACTGGTAGCTCACTGAAGCTAAGCAGTTGTGAGTCTGGTCAGTACCTGGATGGGAGACCTCCTGGGAAAAGCTAAGGCTGCTGCTGGAAGAACTGTGACCAGTAGGGGGTGCTCACCCTGCAGTCTGTGTGGATCCTAATGCCCCAATATAGTAAAAGGGATACTATACTGTAAAAAGGTGCTGTCCTTTGAATAAGACTTAAACTGAAGTCCTGATTCTCCGGGTCATTAAAAAAAGAGTAGGGGTGTTACCCTGGCATCCTGGCCAAATTTTCCCCTAGCCTTTACTAATCATGGCCTCCTTATAATCCTCATCTATGAATTGGCTTCATCACTCTATTCTCCTCCCCACTAATAGCTGATGTGTGTTGAGCATAGTGGCACATCATCCAGGTGGATGCTGCACACTGGTGCTGGTGGAGGGGAGTCCCCATTACCTGTAAAGTGCTTTGAGTGGAGTGTCCACGAAAGCGCTATATTATTATACTTAAAAATTCTCATAGCCATTGGTATACCTATTAATGAATTTTCTGATAATGTGAGATTAAAGCATGAAACCTGTCTGTGATTTACAGTGTGTAGGCCTGCTCAAAGAGATCTCTGACCTTGAGTGGCTTCTTGAGGTCGATGTCGGAGTAGATGCTGAGCTCACGTAGGGCGTCACTAACCAGGTTATCCCGCCTTACATGCAGCACCAGGAAGGGATTGCGGGCCAAGAGGGGCTCCAGCGTCAGCAGCATGAACATGTTGTGCAAATTGGCTCCACTCACGGCCATCTGGAGGAGGGAAAAAGAAAAGCCCACCTCTGCAACAAACTGAGAATATAACCCACAGCTGTGAGCTGTGATTGTAGAATGAGAAGGTAGAGGCTTTTGTTGATATTTGTGTTCTTTAATATGATACAGCCTCACTTAAAGAGGTACAGAACATCTAATTTGTAACAAGCACACATACATCATTTGAGGTCTGCCTGGGAAATTTATGACTTGTGAATCTCCAAAGGAGAGAAAACACATTCTTTTGTTAACTATACAAGCTTGACAAGACACTGGAACCATTGAAAAACCCTCCTATGGGCTGAAGTTTAATACAGATGAAGGACTGTATTAAACTGGGCACAGATGATAAAACAAACCTTCTATATCCAGGAGTCTTCTGCAGACATAAAATAAAGTTTTTTTCATCGTCTAAAACATTGATATAGCAACATTCTTTTCAATTGTACTTTTTACATACTCACAACCACTTTTATGGGAAAGAAAACTGAACTTTTTGTTCCAGAAAATACAATGAATCAGAAAATCAACAAATACAACATAATGAGTAATTATTAAATGTACATCTGAGGTAAATTTCTTTTTTTTAGCAAATTTATTGGGATTTGAAGTGTCTAAATAATAATGAATTATGTACACATTTTATTATTTAACTTAAAATGATATATTTAATTCTATAGTCTAATTTAATCACTTAATAATAATACATTTTAAATCACTGTTATATTTTAATAAACATTAAATTAAAGATAATTAATTATATAATATCCAAATGCAGATTTATACAATTAATATGTATAATACACAGAGGCCCCTCCAAATGTACAGGTTGAGCTGCCACATTTGTCTTTATTCATGATATAACTGCAGCAGAAGAATCAATTTGAAGTTTCCGAAAGCATTTTATGTGATTACATAGAAGGAAATTGTTCCATACTTATTAGTAAGAGCTTTATCATCTAGCTTACAATGAACCAAAACCTTTAGCCAATGCAACCAAGGAGTTCATCAGAAAAAAAGTCAAGAAGCAAAGACTGACAATGTGAATCTCCAGATTTAAATCCAACTGAGCGTGTATTTTTTAGTCAGAACTCTCCAAGAACAGACAAGAACTCAAAGTTACAGCAGGGAAGACTAGGCAAAGCATCTAAAATAATTCCTTAAAGAGTCTGGGGAGCGCAATTGATTACAGACTTCAGGCAACTACTGCCTCAAAGGAATATGCAAAACAACATTGATATTTGCACACTGAAATATACTTAAACTGAAGGTTGAAATCTCTCTATTGAACACAAAGTATCTTTGTTCTAAAATAACTAAATGTATGTCCTGTATTAGGTCATACTTATCATTAGTACTAATCTCATGGTCGGAAATACAAATTGCTTGACGGTGAAGCAAAAATAACAATTTTTGACTTTGCTTTCCTAATATTTTCAGAGGGCACTGTATACAGTAGTTTCTCAATCTGCAAACATTACCTGCATCTGCAACTCAGCATCCGTCTGCAGCATTGTTGTCTTGGCTTGAGCATTTAATATAAACGGATAGGCACACAAAGTCACCGAGGTCTGCAAATGAAAGACAATTCATTCAGAAATATGAACTCAAGATAATAAAGGCATTTAGGATAAATGTACAGTATCGTATAAAATAATTTAAAAGGCCAAATTATTTATACCTGTAGAGGAGGAGATCTAATTTTCTGCAAAAATAGAAAGAAAGCATTGACATATTATATTCAAGAAAAAAAAAATTACATATATAATCCATCCATCCATCTTCTAACCACCTTAACCAATTCAGGGCTGTTGGGGAAGTCGGAGCCTATCCTAGCAAGCAACGGGCACAAGGCTACACTCTGGATGGGACACCAGTCCACTGCAGGGCACATACAAACACCCACAATCACACTAGTGCAGTATGTTTTTGGACTGTGGGAGGAAATCGAAACACTTGGGGGAAACCTACACGAACATTGGGAGAACATACAAACACCCCCGGAATTAAAACAAGTGTCCCTGCATTACAATGCAACAATGCTAACCACCACACCACTATGGCACTCCATATACATATCTCAAATACATATCTAAACGTATATGAACATATATAACAGAATTTTAGCACTTTATACTGCTTTCACATGAACATAATGATCCTTTTTCTTACAACTGATAAGTTATCAGAACTAGCCTAGAATCTGATAGATCAATGAACTGTACATTGAAGAAAGACTGGGCACATTTAATGTGGAATTTGTTCCAAATATGAACTATTTCTTACTTTGGGTAATTCAGGGTTTTGAGTGCAAATCAGTCTCAAGACTTTATTTGTTAATTAAGTAAATGACAGCAAAATTTGATATAATAGCCTGTACTTGGGAACCTGAGGTTCTTGATAACTGATTAAATGCTTCATAGGTATGCCAGTTCAGACAGAAGGATGTCTTTCAAACAGCGCAGACGCATCTACTGTCGAATTTGCATGCCAAACTAATATCTTATATTCCAGAAACTGTTTATTTGAGAAGGAGAAGGAGAAACAGTGCTGTTACAGAGGGAAATTCATTCTCTTTCTCCTCAGGAATGAAAACAGGGAGCACTGTATGAGAAGACATAATTCTATTAGACGTGCAGATTTAACGCCCTCCTCAGAAAACCCCATAGATATACTACATTCCACAACGCTGCCAAAAGGTTTCTCTGCTCAGCATACAAGACAAGAGCCCACATAAAATAAAATACTACACTTACAATTTCAGCCTTACTCAGGAACCACTTCAGGTACTCTTCCTGAATATCCACAAGACTTGTAATATCAGGTATATAGAAGTGATTGTAATCCACATGCTGGGCTTTAAGATTTACCTGAAATATGAAATATATGTAGTGCCTAACATTTGAGAAATTTAATTCAAAAGATTTAAGAAAAAACATATCATTTTGATGAAGAGAAACAGGAAAACTGACTCCGAGATCTATACTTTTGTAGATGTCCAAAGGAAAATAAAATCTACATTTTAAAAAAGAAAAATCAAGTGCAGAAAACCAAACTTCCTCAGCATAAATACATCCCAAAACTGGTCTGTTACATATCAATTTTAATGATTCACATTTTCTTTAGCATAATCCAACAAAGACTTAGTTTCACCGTAAATTCTTGCCTGTAGTTTAGAACAAATGTTAAAATCCAGCATACAAATTAATACTTGACCTGAATATTTGTTTTAGTATGATACAAATTTAAAAACTGATCTTGTATAGGAAATGAGTATAAAAATCAGAGCACGGTAAAATATAAGATCTGTAGATATACTCAATGTTCAACTTGAACAACTTAAGTCAAAAATTTAAAATTGTGCAGCCTACAGTAAATAACCAATAAACAAAATGAACATAAAAATAAAACAGATCAGAGAAGTTAAAATTATGCATGTACTTAAGGAAGAGTACACTATTTCTATTGTATTTTGTAAATCTAATCCTTTGCGTTTCCTAAAAAACAAAACTGAATTTTCTATAAGTGTTAGTGTGTTTTCCAAAGAAAACTAATAATTTTTTGCTGAAATTTAAAGACAGGAACCAATCCAGTTTGAAAGTCTCCACGTAGGCACATACAGATACAATACAACATTCAAGATCTACAAAATAAGACAGCTGCACCTCACTAACTCTCTAGGAAACCGAGGGAATTGAGATTGTACCTTGTGTAACTTCTCCAGAAGTTTTAATGCAGCATTGATGTAGCTTTCCAGAAACACAGGGATCAACAAGGCTTTACCTCCAGTCAACAGAAACACCACAGTGCTTTTATACAACTCAATGAGTCGAGAGAAAACAGCACAGTCCAACAAGGTCCACCAGTTATCTAAAAAGAGGAGAGAAAGAGTAAAGATTTAAATATTCCATGCCAAATGATGCCAATGACACAAACTCATGACTATATAAGGTATTTAACTTCACCTCTCAAGTTATACCATCTTATACCATTTCATTAGAAAAGTCAACACTATCCTCATAGTTTAAACAGACTAAGAACAATTTGCACCTGACAGTTACAGCAATGGTAATAAGGTCATACCAAGAACCTTGCTGGGATTTGTGTCCAGGCGGAGTATGGCCATGGCCAGGGGAACAGTCAAAGATATGTAATATTTAGAGTCTTGCAGCACTGGACATTCTGCCAGAATCAGATAGATGCGCATTGCTTCCACATCTGGAGGAGAACAGGGAAGCTGAGGAATCAGGAGGCTTTCAAAACTCTTTGTAGCCTAATGAAGAGGAGGAGACATTTCATTAATAAGAAGAAAAAACTAGACAGTAAATATGCAGAAAAAAAACACCTTTTCCCTTCAGGTTGAAATGAGAAACAACCAAGATAACCAAATGAGAAGACACACTATGATTCTGTGTGCTGAGCTGCACTGCAGTTCTCCCTACAGGATTAACTTGCTTTTACTGCCTGCTTCTGTGTTCAATGGCACCCATGTGCTCCATGTGCACCCAAACTCCCTCAGAAAACTGTGCTTCCATGCATCAGTGCTTTCTACGCATCCAACTGTAAGCGGTCCACATCAGTGCCTCTGTTTCCTGCCCCTTGTGTCTGTGAACTCACTTGATGCTTCCTTGCACCTTGGTGCCTACACAAACCTCTTTAAATAGTGAGATCCTTCATACAGCTCTCACCTCCTTGTCTGCCTGCTTCATTGTCTTCATGCATCTCTTTTATACAGTGCCAGTGACCTGCAAAAGCATTCACCCCCTTCCAATGAGGTACATTCAGATTTTTACTTGCAGTTTATGCCACCATTTAACATATTTCACCCACAAAGGTATTTAAGTTTTCAAGTTTTGATTTAAAATTTTCATTTTAGTGTGCATACGACATTTGTAATTCCACAACATACTGAGCATCACTGGAACGGGGTGAATACGTTTGCAAGGTACTGCAAATTTGAACCTCAGTGCAGCTCTTCATATATTCAGTTCATCATTACAACTCTCTTGTCATTATGTGCCTCATGGACAACCATAATCTCCTATGCAATTCAGTGCCTTAATGTATCCTATTTGAACCTTTTCCGTCTTGAAAAGTAAAGATTACAAGAAGACCTGAGACAAATATTCAAAATCCTCTAAAAACACTGACAAAGTAAATGGATATTAGGCATTTGAATAAACCATGAAACACAAATCAGAAGAGACTAAGTGGAAACTAAGTGGGAGTTCATTTAAAACCTAGATCAGGAGCTGCGGGAGTCTGGCACAAGCTACCCAGCCAAGTTTGAGAAGTCAGAACCCTGGCTCCTTTCAAGAAATGCCTGGATGAGATCCTTCAAAAATTAGCTGCTAGCTACCAAGAGGGCTAGATGGCCCTCTTATTTGTAACTGTTCTTATGATTCTACATGGTAGATGTCAACAGTCAATATTATCAATGACATTATGTTCCAGTGCCTATTATGGTTAGCTTTAAAGTACAGTATGAAAATGTGGGTTCATTCTAAACAAGGAAGACTTCCCTTTTTATTTGTTTCAAGGTGAGTTTTGAATGCATGGCCTACTTGCTGGTAGTAATAATACCAAGAACAATTCCTTGTGTGAAAGTATGAAAAGAAAAACAGTACATGCATACCATGAGTAACAAACAGCTGAGTGCAAAATCAAAAGACATCTATTTTCGTAGATTAGTTTTAAATTTACAGTTCATTAGAATGTGGGAATTCAAATAAAATTAATGACAATGCATCCCATTCTTCGTACATGCCCACTTTCAAGTTATAAATCATATTGTGAGAATTTCCCTGGAATTTCATCATTTCATTATAAATTATGATCTCACCTAGCTAATCCTAAGAATGAAATGTCTACCTGGAGAGCAATATAGATAAGAAAGTCACTGACAGTAAATAGTGCTAATATTTAACACTTAAAATGTTAATAAGATAAAAAGTCAGTTTTACCTGTTCTAACAACCTGGAAAATGAAGGCTTCATGAGAGTTTGAAATAACAACCTGACAGAACTCAAGTCGATCCCAGGAATTTTAGGATTGGTTTTAAAGTGTCCATCATCACTAGTCACATAAAAAGGAAAAGTGTCAAAAGTATAAAAACAAGATTTTGAAGCATTAGTATGAGTCTCATGTCTATGAAGGTGAAAGATCTGTATTTTCATAACTGGTTCCTTAAATGTCTCGGGGCTTCACAACAATACTGACATTGACAAAGAATTTCTCAGAAAAAATACAAAGTGTCATGAAAAGATACAATCACGTGTGCTGTTTATAACACAAGCTGTCAGTGATACCACACATATCAGTTCCTTGATTACTCCCATATGCATTCTCAACCATCAATAAGAAAGTGGCCAATCGGTGAAAGCCATCAGGGAACCATAAACTGCACGACTGGGTTATCTAACATGAGTGATCATAGGATTTATGATGTAATTTCCTGTTCTCCTTGCATTCCGCAACATCTTGAGAAAAACACCAACATTCTTTTTAAGCTCGACAGATGTATGCTTGGCACAATCTCAAAGAAGGTTGTTTTATCAAAATCTTACATTCAAACTCAGTTTAAACTGATCCTTCATGATTAAAAAAGTGTATTAAAAATCACTGGTATGACCAGTTGTATGAAAAAGAAACATGGAATAGTGGAACAATATTTTGAAAATTCAATTACAGTAACAATATGCAAGTAATTTTTTCTTGCTAAGATGTGCTAATACATTTAATGTAATAATTCTTAAGAACTTAACGATTCCACTGGTTATTAAAGTTTTGAATTAATTTCATTTTGGTATTACTGTCTTACTTGTCCTTTTATATAAAAAACTGTACTTATTTTTTACCATAGAGTGAAGTGTGCTACCTAATTTTTAAATGGAATTAAAAAAAAAAACTGCAGCAACAGAAAACAAAAACAGATATTTTTGTTTTATTCATCTATACATACAACAGTTTTAGAATGTCAGCTTGAGTTACAAATAGATGGAGCAAATGCTCACACTGCAGTGAAAATCTTTTATGTTGGTATTGCTGAAGATAATACCCTTCAAATTTAAAATATGAGATCCTTGGCTCAATTATCTATTAACTACCAAACAGACTACATGGGCTGAATGGTCTCCTCTCATCTGTAACCTTTTTCATGTTTTTGTGCTGTTTCTATCCAAAGACGAGAGGACCAATCAGCTCCTAGCTTTGTATAATTTCCTACATAAAGAGTAATGTTAAGGATGGGAGTCAGGTTCTGGGACTCAGAAATGAAGTCTGCATGCTCACATAAGAAGTATTTTGGCACATTTATTCTTCACAAATGTATATGAATCATGTTGTGAGAAAAGGTTTGTGAACCCTTTGTAATTATATAGATTTCTACATGAATGGCTCTTAAAATGTGATCTGATCTTCATCTAAGTCATAATAATAAAAAGATAGTCTTATTTAACAAACAAAACACGCAACATTTTACATTGTCATCTTTATTAAACAAATGGTTTAAACAATCAAGGTCATTGATGGAAAAAGTATGTGAACCTCTAGGTTAATGACATCTTGAAAAGTGGGTAATTAAGAGTCAGGTATTCCAATCAATGAGTCAGGTGTTCCAATCAACTCAGGTGTGGGTTTCACCTGCCCTGTCATATAAAAAAATCATACAATTTCAGTTACATGCTCTTCACAACAAAATTCTGTTGAAGTCTAATACGGCCCGATCAAAAGAGATTTCAGAGGACCTCAGAAGAGTTGTTGAAGCTCATAAGACTGGAAAGGGTTACAAAAGGATTTCTAAAGACTTGGGCCTCCATCAGTCCACAGTCAGGCAGATAGTTTACAAATGGAAGAAATTCAGCACCGTTGCTACTTTCCCTAGGAGTGGATGTCCTACAAAGGTCAGTGCAAGGGCATGCCATACAATACTCAAAAAGGCGACAAAGAACCCTAAGGTGACAACCCTAAGGATCTGCAGGCATCTCTTGCACTTGATAACGTCTGTGTTCATGAGTCTACCATAAGAAAAACACTGAACAAGAGTGTTGCTCATGGGAAGTTACCATGGAAGAAACCACTGCTCTCCAAAACAAACATTGCTGCCCATCTCAGGTTTGCTAAAGACCACCTGGATGTTCCACAGCACTACTGGAAAAATGTTCTGTGGACAGATGAGAAAAAAGTTGAACTTCCTGGTAAATGTACACAGCGTTATGTTTAGAGAAAACAAAACACTGCATACCAACACCAAAACGTCATCCCAACTATGAAACATGGTGGAGGGAGTATAATGGTGTGGGGCTGCCTTGCAGCCTCAGGGCCTGGAGGGCATGCAATCATTGAGGGACCAATGAATTCCAAGTTCTATCAGGAAATTCTACAACAGAATGTCAGGGTGTCGGTCTGTGATCTAAAACTCAAAAGAAGTTGGGTCATGCAACATGACAATGATCCAAAACACAGGAATAAATCAACAACAGAGTAGCTCAAACAGAAGAAATTCTGTATTTTAGAATGACAAAAAAGTCCCATTGAAATGCTGTGGCATGATCTGAAGCAGGCCATTCAAGCAAGACATCCCAAAAATATACATGAACTGAAACAGTTTTGTATAGAGGAATGGGCCAAAATACCTCCTAACCACTGCACAGGTCTCATCAGCAGCTACAGAAAGCGTTTGTTGAGGTTATTGCCAATAAAGGAGGTTCCACTTCTTACTAAATTTAAGGGTTCACATACTTTTCCCATCAATTACGTTGATTCTTTAAACCATTTGTTCAATAAAGATATGGCAATGTAAAATGTTGTGTGTGTTGTTAAATAAGACTGTTTTTATTTTATTATTAAAACTTAGATGAAGATCAGATCACATTTTAGGAGCCATTCATGCAGAAATCCATATATCCATATCACAAACGTTTTCTCACAACTGTATGTAGTATAAAACCAAAAAATTATAGACTTTTTAAATGAACGTCCATTACTTTGTAATATCAAAAGTCTCACCATTTTTGAGTTCTGCTTTACAGAACTGTACACTAGTGGTGTGATTTCCTCTGAGATTGGCAATTTCATGCCAGTGCAGCTTGACACTTTCCAACAAAAAAAAATAATGCAGAATAAAACAGAATAAAATGAACTACACCTGTTGACACTTCTGTTTTAATACACTGTACATTGCATATTTGTATGCAATTCAAATATCTTAATGCTGTACAGTGATTAAGAAACAGAAGCAAAACCAACACAATACTGTACTTCCCATCTTTAAACACCGCTCTTGGTTTGCCTTTCCTATGCAGGGGGAGTTCACCTTACCTACACTCGCTCTCCTGCCTAATTCAGAACAAACAGCAACATGCCATGAAGAGATAATATTTCTCATTAGCTACAGCACTCACCTTTGGTCTAGGAAACTTGCATTCCAACAAGCAGTGGAAGAAAGGAGAAGGATTATATCACTGAAAAAGAAAATATATTTTTACTTAACATCCACAAATGGTAAAACTCTGACAAAATGTAATTTCCTTTGTTTGACAGGATTATTATTACATGTATGAATGTTAGAAAAAGATATTAAGCAAGTCTAATTTACCCCACTCTTTGTAATTTAGGTCAGAAATGGCTTGGAATAAACTTTAATATAAGTAAAACATTACATTTGAAACATAAAACATTTAATAGTGAAATTAAATTCAATGTATTCAAAACTTCAAAATAGTTTATTGGATTATAGTACAAATTAATAAAATGTACTTAAGGATTAACAACATTAACTAGCAATAGTAAATAACAGCTTTATACGACTATATACTTAACAGCATACTGTTATCCTTACTTAACAGTGCTGGAATCACTGTTCTCTATAAGTTTTATTCGCCAAGTGTTTAAATTTTCACTGTTAATGACTGAGATACTTTTTCTGGAATTAAGAACACGGAAGTCTTCAGGGGCAACAGGCGACTGTAAAGGGAGAGAAGGAAAAAAACATGAAAACAAAATGATGGCACAAATACTTCTGTAATAATTAGAAATGTATAATTATGGTGATTCTTAGTCATTGTGATAATCTTCTGAGCAGAGTACTGCAAATTTAATAAAAATACTATTCATTAATAAACACAATTCTAGAAAGGGAAATGTGTTTGTGTCTTGAAAGGAAGTTACAATGTAAGCTCCTTCCTGGCAGGTTCAACCATACTGTGGAAGGTTGAGAAATTGATCTCACTTAAATGCTCTGATGTGCAAAAGTACCCTTCCTAAGATAGAAGATATGTTGTACAATTAGGAAGACATCCACAAACACAAAACATTACAGAACACTAAAAGGTCTTCAAAGAAAATTACAATTAAGTTACAGTGAGATTTTACAATTATGTAAATTATTACTGGTCACTAAAACAGAGGATTTGAAACCAATTGTTTTTTTAAAATTGATAGAATACTAAAAAAAGTGGACACACTGGACTGAAGATAAAGAAGAAGAACATTTCTGACATGAGTCTTTTAACACATTCTTTTTATGATATTATAATTCCTTCAAGGTGTAATAGTAGCCAACTGGTAATGAAAAGAACTAAGTGGAAAATCTGAATACATGAGACTCGTTCAATGGTACTTATGATGTGGAAATAATATTCAAATACACCTCTGTCAGGATGATCATCTCAGGAGTTCAGTTCTGGTGGAACCCAGCCAAAATATAAGTTTATCTTTCAGGCAAAAGCCCTGTGAATTCTTCCATAATTAAGCATGCTTTCAATGAGCTTATATGCATTAATAAGCTGTTCTTAATGTTAATATCTGAACACTGGATGCTTATTGGTCAAACCCCCAAGTTTGTCCAGCGGTAAAAAGACACAGATGTTATATAATGGGTGGGACCCTATAAAACCAAAAGTAAACAGATGAATCATTTAAATCAGGCCACTATGCATCCTCAATAAGACAGGAAACAGCACCCCCCGGTGGAAGCACTGGAAAACTCTCTAAGGTGGAAGGCATGCAGGCAAAGTTAAAAGAATTGCAATATAAAAAGTTCAGTTTTCCTCCCTACCTCACAACTGGAGCACAACAAAAAGCTATGATCTCCACCACAATGAATTTGTCTAATGAAGCAACCTTCTGATTTTTCTGTTGGAAAAAAGAAATAAATTATCTGTCACGAAAAAAAATGAAAATAAAAACAAACTGAGTGGACAGATCTGTTTTAAGACAATGTGTGCCTATTACAGTGACTCTACTGCTAACTCTCAGTTAACCAGTGATTATGTTTTAATACATATATTATTGCAGCCTTTCCATTAATATTATACTGTTAATTAATGATTCTTAGTGAAGAACTTTTTATGCCATAATAACATCCTTTCAGATTTGTATGAACAAATTTGCATTCTAGAAATGCAAATCCTTCAACTACTAATATACTGTAAACTGCACCTTCTTTCATTTCCACATAACATCTGAGTCTTATAAACTTTTTTCAAGAACTTAAAAAATTACACAAGTGATTAGCACATGGAAATGGCAAAAATAATTTTCCTCTATAGATGCGCTTTATGATTTATTCAAGAAGCTTTTTCTGCCTATTCAATGATTCTATACCATGAGATGAGCGGCTCCAGCAACATAAGCAAAATGTGCTGCAGATTTCCCTCAACCTGCTTGGAAAATTCCTGTGTGCATTCTCACTGCCTGAAAATATTAGAAAAAAATCTTAACTGTCAGGATGTATACAATGGTGCATAACAGGCAATTAAACAGTTTTTAATCAAGAAAATGAACTTGCAACCGGCTTCACTTATTGTAATGGTTTTATAAACAGGATTAGTTTCAACGCTTACAGTACACTACTGTTTCTTGTGCAGCAACTAACTTGCCTTCAAAACACAGACATTTCCCTTCAATCTGAAATCTGCATTGACCGCAGTTCCCAAGTGAGGGTAGTGCGGAACAGGATGCATGAAAGGCACTCAGAATGTAGCGTTCATCCAGACTTACTTTCTTTTCCAGGTAATACAAAAAAAAAAAATCGAGATAAAAAGATCTGTAAAATCTGATCACTTCCTTCTGCTAAAGTAGCTGAGTACTAAATTGTCCTTAAAAAACTCAGTCCACAAAAACCTTATACAAGATTGTACTGCACTGTTCTATCTTATAATTCTCAGAGGACTTTCATTTAATTTGCAGTTGAATGCATTTTAGAGAGATCTAATAATGGCAATATCTGGAGTAGAATAGTGTTTCTCTTAACCATTTGTACACCAAGACCTATATCATGAATGCATGTCAAATGCCTTTGGAACTGGACAAAATTTTTAAAAATCAGATTTTTCATCTAGATTTATGTTTTTGTAAAGACCACATCAGCTTCCTGAAAGATTCACTTTCGTAATCATTGAATGTGGCATTCCCTATCTTGACCTTTAATATCTTTCCAAGACTGTATCCAACAGAAATGCACAGCAGGGTGTTTTCAAATGGGAAAGGATTGGGAATGCAGGGGGAATTTTGTTGTCTGTATGATGAGCTAGTCTCGGAATAGAGTGTCAAGAGTAAGGGTCATGTTTGCTCTCTATATAACATTCCAGACTCTCAGTGACAAAGTAGCAGCCATTTAGAGTAGGTGACACATAGCTGCCACTATGTGCCAGCAACCCCACAGATAAGGTGGAGAAGTGGGAAATTACTTCACCAAATGAATTAAGAGGGGAATTTAGAGAGGTGTGTTTCTGCAAGGACAAAGTAAAGCACTGGGGTTATCAATCCTACTCTTACGAACAATGCCATGGAATTTTTAATGACCGTTTTTCATTTTTTTTAATGGATCTCCTATAGCACAGCAACATCTGTCATCATATTAGGTCACTGATTGGAAATTCTGGATACTTCTTTGTCTACCATATGTCTAAGATATTTGGACAGGAATTTATAGGATTTCATTGTTTCCTGTTAATATTCTTACATTCCTCTTTACTTGCTATACTAGATGTAATACATACAAAAAACTTAATCATGTTTGCATAGGCATCTATGTTTGCAAGGCTTACAATTACCAAACTAAACATGTAATTCAAAAGCATTTCCCCCTTTTAATATTTTCCTTTATTCTGTCCTCATAACAGCTGTAATAAGTAAGTGAATATCTCTTGGAGACATACAGTACTATACGTCTGGGGTACTCTGTTTGGATTGTTTAAAGAGAAACGTACTCAAAACCGTCACACAAAATCACCTGGTGAGTGAAGGCTTTCTCTGTGGTAAAAAATGCTGCTCTTTACAGGTATTGGGCTTTTAGCATTCCCCCTGCAGCCAACTCCCAGTTGTCCTTTGGTGTTGCAGCCAAAAGCATAGACCACACCCGAGGAAGGCACAAATGCTAGGGTGTGCTGTCTAGAAGAAATAAAGAATCAAACATTCCAACTTGTTTTGCCTTACTGGCATGAATCAATAAAAGGGTTATTACTAACTGCACAGATATTCAGGCAGGAAGTTATACAGCATCTCAATTACATTTCTATACTATAAGAAAAGATGACAGGATATGCATTCTAAAGAGGGTGCAATCTATTACTATTTTCTGAGAAAAGGAGGCTGGAAAACAGCCTTGTGTATATGTTTATGTTTTTTTCCCTCAACAACAGCAGCGTACTGTATATGTACAGTAGGATTATTTACTAACTTCAATACTAAATGACACATGTTATTTGAGTTATATGGTACATGACCTAATTATGTATGTCATTATGTAGTAAGCAATTCTGGTCTGATGTGTGGAAGTTCATAAAAAAAGAGGAGTGTGTATACCTGCCACAGGCAATCTGAGATACTTCACTTCCCATCAGTTCAAGAACTCTTCTTGGAACTACTTCATTGTTTGTAGAATCATGTCCCAGCTGCCCCTGTGAGCCATCTCCAAATGTAAACAGACCACCATCCTGCCAAAGACGAAGAGAGAGAGATAATGCTTTTAAAAAAACAAACAGCTTCCATCCACAATGCATATCATCATCCATCACTACTGTCTGAATAATACTGTTTGAAAATGTATCTTTCACACTTCTTTGTGTGGTTACTGGACTGTTGTGGTACTTGTTCAAATGAAGAGGGAGCAGCATAAGAATTCTGCTGCAAAGGAACAAGAAGAGGTAGACTGCATGCTGAAAAATTAAAATTTGAATTATATTATACTTAATCATACTGTACCTATCGCTTCAAAGCCAAAATATTTTTCTTGATTTTTCTTAGTGTTTAGCACAGAAATAACCTCTATTTGTTCCTTTGTTTAAATTTAACATCTAAACAGAAATTTTGTTTGTTTTTTTTAAGTATTGGTCATTGGTCAACAGGGAGTGGCTTATTGGTGGTGTCTAGGTCTAAGCAAAAAAAACAAGATAGATCTCTTCAAATTCTTTCAATACAACGTTCATAAGACTAATATCGCTTCCATTTGGATACAAAATAGACAATTACAGAAATATACCTTTGTCAGGGCTGCTGTATGCTCATCTCCACAGCTGATGTAAACTACTTTCTGTGTTCTTAAAGACTTGATATGGCAAGGAACTGCACGTTCTGAAGAAAAAGCAAAATGAATATAAATATGCAGAATAATTTCAAAATAATTCAAATAATATCATTGTGAGGACTTGTTATGAATTTGGCCCATAATACTTTGTAGATTTTACTACTTTTTGGAAGTTTTTTTTACTGTATATAGTTGAGTTTTTTGAAGTTATATACAGTAAAACCGCTCTCGCGTCAGGATTAGTACTGTACATACTGTACAGGACATCAAAATCAATGGAGTAATCATTTTTACCTTGCTCATCATTGAGCCCCAGCTGTCCTGCGCTGTTCCTCCCCCAGCCAAACACAGCCCCCGAGAGCGAGACTGCAAAGCTGTGGTCTCCCCCTGCAGCGATCTGAGCCAGAGGAATGCCGGAGAGCGACTTGAGGGGCTGGGGAGAAAGCTTACTGGGCTCTCCTTTCCCCAAGCCCAGCTGCCCATTTGAGTTCTGTCCCCACGCAAAAATCTGTCCATCTAAACAAGACAGGGGTAAGTAAAAACTGAGCTACATTTAAAACATGCATCAGAATATCCACTTTAGCTCAACTGAAACGTTCAAAATCTCTTATTCTTATACTCTTCCATGCTTCAGGTATTCATCTTTTCTAGCATTAAGGTATCAACATTTCTTTGAACCAAGAAATATAAAATGCTGAGACTCAACAAGCTCACTTCAAAGGAACAAGTAATAGGTTTATTCCATGCTGAAAAAAAGAAGAAAGAGAACACAACGTTTCGGCCTTGGAGCCTTCTTCAGGTGTGCTTCAGCTCACTTCAAAACTACTAATCAAACTCTGGTCTCATAGAGAGATAACTATCACAACTGATCATTTTTTAATTGAAAAAGGACAATTATTTTTAAGCATTTTAATCTAAGCAAAATCAGTTTGAAATGTTTTGTTTTCCTACCTTTAGAAAGGGCTAAGCAGTGCTTACTGCCACACATGACTTGAGTAATTCGGTGTTCACACAATTTTTTGATCAACCTGAAAGGGTTAAGTGGGAAGTTAAGATTGAATACAAGTCAGTGCTGTTTACAAAACCAAAAACAATACAATGCAATACAATATTAAACATTTATATAATCTTAAAGCTGAGAATTAACTTATATTTATACAGAATGGCTTTTAATTGTATTTTAATAGCAATGTCTTTGATTAGACACTCAAGTCTGATTTTTGTAACATATTCCAAAAGTCTTAACACTTCCATGTTTTAAATGTTGAATGATCAAATAATTTCCATTTTTGAGTTTTGCTCTTCTCTTCCTTTATACTTTACAGTGTGGAATTAACCTCACAAACTGAACTCTCCCTACTGAAATACTGTAGCTTCTTTGTTTATAAAACCCAGTTTGCAATAACCAACTGTTTAGGACTCAGTTGAAAAGATGCAGCCCCTATACTGCAGGGGGAGATATGATATGTCCTTCTGTTAGAGTCAGTCTGTTTGGACTTCCCACCAGACTCCACATTATTAACACCAAAGAGAGGAGCGGTACGTCTCTCAGTGACTTTCCAGTAAGCTTGCATGTGCCTGAAAGTTCCACTACTGGACTGAGCACAGAAAAAACCCAGGCCGTCCAACCCCATCAGCACACATCCAATTGTGTGCTGTCATTAGAAACCCTGGTTAAAACGATTTGGCCCAGTTTTGAACTGGAGATGCCTAAATCAGTAGATTTCAATTTTAGCATTATGTAAAAAAATACGCTACATAACCTGACAGCACGGCCACACACCTCGGAACTCTGACAGTTTCCTCAGCAGTGCCAAGACCCAACTGCCCCTCATTCCCTGCCCCCCAGGAGAAGACCTGGCCTTGCTCATTGACTGCCAGAGAGTGAGCTTCCCCACAGCACACCGCTGCAATCTTCTGAGCATCTAGGGCTCCAACCAGCTCTGCAAAAGACATACATCCAGCTAAAGTACAAGCAGTAGAATGGCACTAAAACTTATTGCTTTACACTTAATATTGGATGCTCAATAGCTAAAGGCCCATTTGGACTTTATTTTACATGCCTTTACATTCATTTACATCACAATTGTGATTCCTTTTTTTATACATTATTATTACATTAAATTATAAATAAGAAATTTAAACAAAATTCACAACATATCTGTTACACCAGCTGTAGACATCCGCTCTTTATAGTGCATGTCTTGGAACTGACAGAAAAAAGCAAAATCCCCCCAAGACACCTAAATGCCGTACCGCAGTAACCCCAAAATATAAGTGCAACAGCGACATAAACACAAGCGGACACCGTGTGCGACATAACAACAGCCACCTGGAGGAGCAGCAGTACTTGCTACAGTACAGTACCTCCATCCATTGTTAATACCCTAATGTCAATCAGGATGACATTAATATAAAGTGATTAAAACTGTTTCCTTTACTAATTTAGTATTTTTATAAACTCAACAAAAGAACATTGATGAATAAAGTTGTTTGCTAAACAATCTCTCATCCTAGCGTTAATCTCACATCAGCAGGGTCCGCTTGTCGGCTCGCCCATCTCCATTTGGTGGTTTGAACCAAATCTTTGAGCTGACGTTGCCATTAAATGCGACTGAGAATACTCCAACCGGGCGTCGCTCCGCCTGCCATCGGCAAGGGTAAATAGCAGTATTTCATGTAAGAAATAGGGTCAGTATTTTGATTATACCAAACCCAGGGTGTTATTGTATTTGAAATTTTTTTCATTTCATTCTTGTCTTGCTTGGCAAAGAAAATCCAGCATATTATGGTCAGATAGCCTTTTCAATGGCCAAATCAGTGTTGTACTGTAGGGTATGCTAGTCTGATTATGCTGGACTGAAAAAAGCAATAAAGGTTTCAAATCTGTTATTCCTGGGATATTAACCAGGCTGTAATTGCCACACCCCTTAACATGGAAGAGGTGTTAGTGGGGCCAGCAGGGGGCGCTCACCCTGTGGTCCATGTGGGTCCTAATGCCCCAGTATAGTGACGGGGACACTATACTGTAAACAGGCGCGTCCTTCGGATGAGACGTAAAACCGAGGTCCTGACTCTCTGTGGTCATTAAAAATCCCAGGGCGCTTCTCGAAAAGAGTAGGGGTGTAACCCCGGTGTCCTGACCAAATTTCCAATTGGCCCTTACCAATCATGGCCTCCTAATAATCCCCATCTATGAATTGACTACATTACTCTGCTCTCCTCCCCACTGAGAGCTGATGTGTGGTGAGCGTTCTGGTGCACTATGGCTGCCGTCGCATCATCCAGGTGGGGCTGCACATTGGTGGTGGTGGAGGGGAGTCCCCATTACCTGTAAAGCGCTTTGAGTGGAGTGTCCAGAAAAGCGCTATATATGTGTAAGCAATTATTATTATAATTATTCATCTAGGGTTGGAAGACACACGTAATGTTTAAGTATTTAGTTGTAGTCTCTTGGTCAGAGTACTCGTCATCATGGACTTGGGTTTCACTGATATATTGGCGACACTCAGATTTGTTTGCAGCCCAAATCAGATGCTACTGTTGCAGTTCCTGTGCTTCACAAGTCTAAAATTAAAATATGGATTGGATGCAGCACAACTTTCTTCAATGTGTCAAGACTGAAGTTAGTTTCCGTTTCGCAGTGTTGGCAGCTTCAGTCTACACCCACTTGCGGTGATCAATTCTGCTGCCAACCTGCTTGTGGCTTTATAGCGTGCACCTCCTGTGCACTTCACACCACAGCAAGTTTCTAAAAAGCAACAAACGCAGCAGGAAAATGAAAATTATTTTTAACTGGACCCTTTTCTGGGGGCCATGTTCTTTTATTACTTGTATTTTATTGTTTTTGAACGAACTAGACAACAGACAATGCCTTTGTCACAAGACAGTCTTAATGAACACATGGAGAATTGTAAGAAAAAGCAAACAAATCAAAAACTAGCTCTACAAATGACATTATTGTACTGAAGTCCAGTGTTCGAGCTTTTCCTCAGGAACCCTTTTTACATCTGTTTGCTTCAATTATTTAATGGAGACACTGAGGTAAAATAAAAAAGAAGAAACGTTCTACAGACTGCATAACAGAGACAAAGAATTAAACAAAGAAGGAGCATATGGGGCTAAAGGCTCTGCTGAACAAAAGTTATTAGAATAGCAGAGAAATAAAGAAAATATTCTTAACACACTTTTTCAGTAGTACAATAGTAAAAGTTTAGCACTGCAAAAGTGGAAACAAACAAGATAAAACAGAATTAATCAAGAAAAATATATTTAGTGAGCATACTAAACATAGAAGTAAAAGACTACTCCCACATTCATCTTCATATCTGAAGTGGCACTTCCTTATTTAGAATATTTCTTTAAGGAACTTTTTATGTGCAGTGCATGGTGTCTGAAGCACCAAAACAGTTTCTAATGAACAAAAAAAAAAAAAATTTGGAGAGTGAACATGTTTTTTTTCTGTGGTAATGCTGAGAAAATGTAAATTAAAAAACAGAAAGTACTTTTTACACGAACACGGAAGAAAGGCTGCATACAATGTGGATGTTTTTCAGATTGCTAGTGATAAGAACTTTAACTGAAAGATCCAGGTGAGTAAGAAGCTCTTTCTCATGTATGCTACTTAAAAAAAAACACCTTAGTTTGCCAATAGCACACTGGTCACCTACCAGGTCTGCCTCCTCCTTTTTCATGGCCCAGCTGGCCCCAGCTGTTAGAGCCACAGGAATACAAACTCCCATCATGCAACAGGAAAACTGAATGTTGTCCTCCGCAGGCAATCTCCTTCAGTCCCCTACTGCTAAACACCTTGCAGCTCCGTGGCTCGTACACAGTGGTTTCCAAGTCACCTAGGCCAAGCTGGCCTGCAGCCGTGTTGCCCCAGCACAGCATCATGCTTCAGGAATGCACTAGGCAAGGAGCCTCTCTCCACTGTCCTTGAAACAAATGAGAGATCTGAAAACGCAGAGAAACATGTGCAGAGGTTAGTAAAATTAAAGGTCGCCTTAGTTTAGAAGCCTGCACTTTGAGGATAAAGAGAAAAAGCGGTGCCATGCAATGATAAGAAACCTGGAAGTCGTTTCAATAACACAGGGTGGCTCTAATCCTGCTAATACAGCTAGAAACTCTCTCTCTCCCTGGTGACCACAATCCTTTGGAGCAACTCCAATCTGCAGCTGAAAGAGCAAGCCAAGCTGAGAGACACAGAAAACAAGTTAAAGCAGCTCAGCACCTTACAGGTGATTCCAATCACAGAAATATGGTGAAATCGTGCCTGACTGGAATCAAAAACTCGAAAGGAACTGCGAACTACTGTACAGTGTATCAGAACAGTGTACAGTACCTAGTTTAGATGCATGATGCAACCAGGTTGCCTTGATATTTATATTATATTTGAAATATTTGAAAAACTGAAAAAATGTGTTTGGTCTTGAACATGACAAATATCCCTGCCAATTCATAATGAGTCCATTATGCAAGTTAGATCCTAAAAATATCTGGGAACACAAATAGATGCAGAACTGTCTTGGAAGGCACATGTAGACTTTATTTGTAACAAAGTTCCACAGTGAATTTACTTTCTCTTCACGTTTCAGTTGTTGTTGCTAGTTCTCAGATTCTGACCATGTCTTTCAGTTCTCTGGTACAAAACGTCATAGGATGGAATAATCGTCTGGTATAACAGTCTTTCTGTGCAACAAAAGACAAGATGCAAAAGTCCAGACTTTTGGGGATGTGTTCTAAGATAGTGGGGCAGCCATTGGAGCAGAGCTTTCATAGTGCTTATTTTAAGAGTACAGTATGTGGAGAATAGCTGTTAGTATCTCCTCTGATCTCTTCTGTTCTGAATGAAGAACACCAACCGATGCCTTCAAACAGATGTTTAAGGGACCCTCAGTGCAGACTTAACAAAACGAAGAATTCCTTTATCTCACATTCAATCAAACTACTCAATCAATGAGTTCACAATAAGGAGTACTGGTGTATGGGCTAGTGCAATCAGTGGAAAAATGAAGGGGTAACGTGTGGTTATATGGGTTTATAGTGATTTATGGGAGAAGTAAACTTATGTATGTATTTATATATGAAATATTATATTTATTTTAATGCAATATTTATTTGTACTGTTTTTATACGTTTTCTATGTGTGTGTGTAAAACACATTTTTTACAAGTATTATTGTACCATCAACAATAAACTAAACTGTTTCTATCTGGCAATAGCCTTAATACAGTCAACTCAAAACGTATTGGCACCCTTCATGAAATTGAGCAAAAATGATTGTATAAAATTAACAATACATATAATGATTAAAACGTTCTGCTCAAACGTTTGGGGAAACTACTTACCTTCATTCTAATAAAAGTCATTCTTATTTTAAAAAGTTGTTTCCTAACAGTATTTTTCTCAAATACATAGGCGTCAAAATTATCAGCATCCCCAAAGAATATTTAAAATAAAACCAAACAAAGTGGCATCTGTTATGAAATTCTATGCTTTTTAATTGGTCTCAGTCTTCAGGAACTGTATTGCTGCCTTTCACCAGTGCCTGTTTGCCTGGGGTATAAATATGAGGTTGCACGCATGTAAAATCCCTTTGTCATCCAACACCATGGGTAAAACCAAAGAGCTTTCAGCTGAAAAGAGACAGATGGTGGTTGACCTACACAGATCAGGTAACGGATATAGAAAATACATAAACAGTTGAAAACATCACTAAGCACAGTCAGGGCAATAATCAAAACGTTTCAAAAGTCTGGAACAGGTGCAAGCTTGCCAAGAAGAGGACACAAGTGCATATTGCCCCCAAGCACAGTGAGGAAGATGGTGAGGGAGGCAAAGAAGAATCCAAGGAGCACAGTTTAGAGGAATCTTGGGGTTATCAAGTTTCAAAATCAACTGACATCACCTCCATGTCAACAAGCTCTTTGGAAGGGTAGCACGAAAGAAGAGCTTACTGAACACAACCTACAAATTGCAGCACGTCAAGTTTGCCAAGCGTTATTGGAACTACAATTGGAATTGTTTTTTCTGGTCCTATGAGACCAAAATTGAACTTTTTGGCCATGCACACCATAAGCATGTTTGGCGACAAAAGAGGACTGCATACAAGGAAAAGCACCCGATACCCACAGTAAAATATGGTGGTGGATCACTGATGCTTTGGGGCTCTTTTGCTGCTAGTTGTCCAGAGGATCTTGTTAAGATCAATGGCATAATGAATTCCACTAAGTACCAGGATATTTTAGCCCAAAACCTGGTTTCTTCTGCCAGGAGGTTGAGACTTGGCTGTAGATGGACCTTTCAACAAGACAATGACCCCAAACATGCATCAAAATCAACACAGAAATGGTTGTGGGAACACAAAATCAATGTTTAGCAAAGGCCATCTCAGGCTCCGGACTTGAATCCTATTGAAAACCTGGGGTCTGAATTGAAGAGGACAGTTGACAAGTGCAAACCTAAGACTGTCAAGGATCTTGAAATGTTCTGCATGGAGGAGTGGTCCAAGATCCCTCCAAAAGTGTGCTCCAACCATGACACACTTTACAGGAAAAGGCTCAGAGATGTTATCCAGAGGAGGCTTCACCAAATATTAATTGTTGTATACGGCTTCCCTTATTTGTTTGAGCCCAAAATATGACTCACTGTATGTGTTGTTTATTTTATACATTTCATTTTTGCTCAATTTCATGAAGGGTGCAGATAATACTTGAGTCACCTGTAGATTTATAAAGTACAGTCTGAGTAAATTGTGTTAAAAAATAAGGTCAGTAATGGTATGGCTAGCTCAAGCAAATCTGAAAACTAAAGGTTAACTGCACTTTCAAAATAAATATTTCTTTGTATGATTAATAATACCACTCATGGCATTAACACATCCTGTGCAGGTTTCTTGCCAATATACTGTGTAAGACATACTGTACTATTATCATTAACAGTTTATACAGCCAGGGCTGTTCCATTTTGCTTTATGCTCTCTGTGCTAGAAATGTGTGAGGTAATATCTCTTATGCTGAAGGGGTGCTTGATGGGCAAAAAAGTAGTTTTGCTATACTACCCAAAACATCACACGACAGCACATACAGTATACTTCTGCTTGGTAAGGGAGTTTTTCTAGCCACTGGAAGCATGGGATCCCAGATGGACACAAAGCACATAACTGTTTGGTCTATGAGATGTAAATCTAGGCTGATCTAGACTGAGTAGGTATGGTCTTCAAGTACAGTACACATCTGCTTGCAAGATGTGCAAATGGTGTTGTAAAAGCCACATTTTATATATTTGCTCAGTAGACACCCTTATCCAGGGCACTGTACAATATATAAATATATAAAGAAATTTATGTAGCAGTATATTAAACTGTACAGTACACACCAAACATCTGACAGACAGCTTTTGTATTACAAATCAAAACACAGTAACTGTAACCCGATTGAGAAACCTGCTGTTAACCTTACAGACATAAAAAGATTTAAAAATTTCTACCAAGACATTAAGCAGGCATGATTTTTTAATACAACTGTTCCATTCACAACACAACAACTAAATAAAAAGCACTGCAGAAAAGCAGTTAGTGTAGCTGACTGAAATAATAATGCAAGTAAGCCAGTGAGTGTGTACTTATTTAAAATGAATCTGTAAAGAATATAATCAATTTAAACTGCTCTGTGCTCAATTTACTTCAAAAGAGCAGAATTCATAAAATTACTTTAAGATAAAAATGTCAAGCAACTACTGTAAATGTTTAAAAAGCCCTTACTCTAAAGTTATATATATATAATTACCTAAATACTGAAGTGCTAGCCACAGTGGCAGAAAGACTTTTGTTCTTTGATGCCATCAAAGAAACTTTTTTCTTTCAGAAAACATTTTTTTTTCTGCATCACAAATAAATAGGCCAACACATGAACTTATCTAGTGCAACTAGCTATTGTACTGCATATTTAGACTTCTCTGTTTTTCATTCATGTATCCGACATTTTATTAATATACTTATCAGGCCTGTGGCTTATTCTTTAATATTCATTTGCACAACATAATTAAAAAATCAGGACATTAATATCACAAAACAATGGTGACTATAAATTATATATTATATATTACTACAAACAGAAGAGAAACTCTTCCTTTGGGCACACATTAATACTTCATAATTGAATGCAGTAATTTCTTTGCTGCTTTAGCAATCTGTTTGGTTTCATACAGTATTTGTTTTTTCTCCCTCTCGTAATGTGCTGAAATACTTTTCATACTGAAAGTGCAACACCCAGTACTGGCATTCAAGCAGCAAAAATGACCTGGCAAAAAGAGTTTACAATGTAATGGAAAAAATATCAGATACATAAGCAGCTGAACGGAGACAAACATGACTTACTGATGTACGGTATGCAGTTACAGAGTTTCAGAGTTACTGATAGTCTGTTTATTTTCAGTATTCAACCTTCAACCTTGTGTCTCAACTGACTCCCTACTAGTTGTGAATACTGTCACCTCCAGGTCACTAGCTTGAATAATTCAGCTTTTGCTTGAAGATAAAATTATTTTGATGATGATGTTTGCTTGTAGGCTTGTTGTAAACTGATCTGTTCACTTGTTGGGGGTCACACAATTGCTACACTCTGAGCCCAAAGATTGGCCATTCCCAGAAACCATTATCCCAGCATCTAAAAACCTGAAAAAAAACTTTTTTGAGAGGTTAGGCACAGGGTCACACTAGCGGCAGATACTGTTAAAGATCAGAAGCTAAAACAGAGCTGAGCCTGAGAAAAAATGTATTATATTTGCAAGTGATATTGGTGGACAAATGGGTTTAGTCTTCCCTCTAGACCAGAATGTCCAATCCAATGCCTCACTGTGGTAACCAGGGTTATCGTGTTCTTTAGGCATTTTCCCTGGATGTGACATCGGCAGAGTGGCATGTATTGAGACAAATCTGCATCCAAAGGGAAAATGATGATATTGAATCGTCCTGCGAATCATTACATCTGTATAACCAATTTTTACAGAAGCCAATTAACCTACCAGTGTGTTTTTGGGGTGTGGGAGGAAACCAGAGCACATGGCAAAAACCCACTTAGAACTGCAGGAATTGATCCCAAGACCCCCATGCTGCAAGGCAGCAATGCTAACCACTGCATCGCCTTGTCATCCTAATATGCCTATGGATCTCCAAATTACAATTTACAGGAAGGGTTATATTTGCAGAAGGAGTAACTTCCACTGATCAAGTGCAATCCTCCCAAATCCTATTTGTTCTATCTAGAACGAGTTCAAGGGAAATGCATCATCAGCTGAGATCCATCGGTTCTCACAAATTAAATCATAAGGCTCCTGCCTACATTTGACCTCGTTTTCCACTCTGAAGCTCAAATGCAATACAATATACTTGCAGTATTACTGTTCCACATTGTAGCTTTCATTGCTTTCACTGAAACCGGTAACACAATACACATTACATCTCATATTGAGCAAAATAATATATTTCTTATGGATTAAGTCTCTATTCCTAAGGAACTGACTGGCCTAAATTGATTTTACTGCAGAAAAGAAAATCAATGAGATTTTTGAAAAGCTGTGGAATTTATTCTAAACCCTTGATTTATAATTTGTTCTGGCTTGACATAGTATGATGAGCTTTATTATAGCTTTTATGTCATTAACTCTCAAAATTTAGGAGAATTGAAGAGAAGTGGTCCATCATTGCCACTTTAAACAATACAGTCATTATCAAGTGACACATATTTGTACATTCAGCTCTCTTTACACCATTCCTTGTCCTTTTATGATTTTACAGAATTATTACATTATTTTCAATAGCTCCCACATTGAAAAGTGTTTTAATTTTACCACCGTTTTAGTTTGACAATGTGATATACTGTATCTCAGACGCTGAGCAAGGCTGGGCCCAGTTATCACTAGGATGGGAGACCTCCAAGGGAAAGGAAGAAGTAAGTGGTAATGGTGGACCAGGACGTGGCTCTCTTCCCACTGGACTAGAGCTGTGAAGGACTTCCTTGAGCCAATCATTTCAGCAAATCAAGTGAATCGATTAAAGATTCCTCATTCATTTGATTAACTGTTACAATCCAGTTCAATAAAATTAATGTACTTTGGCATTATTTTTACTTATTTATTTTTGGCTATTTTTTTAACCTTGCAAAGCCAACTGTACATGACAAATAGGCTAAGGTCTTGTCAACTACACTGTCTCTATATGATACTTCCTTTAGGATTTTCACAAAAATAAAATTTTATTGTGCCCAGATGATGAATTTCTCAGATCTTCTTATTTCCATTTACTTTCAGAAAAGCGTACTTCTTGCTTAAGTCATTTGTTATTCAAATATAATATTTAGAAGTTCTGTCATTTAGTGAATCAAGCTAATTTCAGTGAATAACTATTTTAAGTGATTCAGTATATCAAATGAACATTGTTTTCAACTGATAAACTTAAATAAACCGATTCACCAAAATGAAACAAACCATCCTGCATTGTTATGGACCACAAAACACCAATGGATCCAGGAGGATAACAGAAGAGATTGTGCTGTAGAAGATGCCAACCTTCTGACAAGGTGTTAAACCAAAAGCCTGATTTAAGAGCCTTGGTGTCCTGGCCAAATTCAGCTTTGGGCTCAGATAATCTAGCCTTCCTGAATGTCCCACCTAATTCACCTAGTAAAGCACAACAGTTTTTCTCAGTTCTCCCCTTGATCTCTCAGTAGTGGACCTCTTTATTCATTATTTGCTGTTAATAATGCAGCAACCTTAATTAAAGTATACAATAAAATAATTTCGTTTTTTTGTGCTGTCAGTGTATATTCAGATTAATCTGAAATCGATACAATGGATGTTTTTATTATTTCCATGGGTTTCAGTTTGTTTCAACCTTCACAGTTCTGTTCACCCTATTGTGCATTAAGCTAAGCAGACTTGGCCTAGCAAGTACCCAGTCACATTCTGATAAGAAGCCATACTGTACAATGAATCTTACATCTAGTCTTTAAATCACAATACTACACTCTCAAACAAAAAATCAGACATGCACATACTGTATAGTAGACTTACTTGTGGAAGAAAATGTTAAGTGTTAAGTCAAATTAGTAAGACCTAACACTATTCTGAGTAGACAGAAATGATGAAAGTTGAAAAAAAAATCACAAGTCAGAGTTCTTTAATGTTCAGTAAATAATGTGGCTGTAAACAGGTGATAGTTTACAAAGTATTAAACCAAACTAACCCATGACATACGAACTTTATGACATACAACATTTTTCAGGACATACAACAGTGCCTTTCCCTAAATATAGGCAGATTCCCTCCAGTCCTCAAGGCTTGGTTTTGCTTAGTTACTGAGAATTCCCAGTGGTGAACTTTGTGTGCACCACTATGACATTCCCACCCCTGTCCTTCCTTCTCCCCAGCCTCCCTGCTATACTTTGGGTGTCTTTTGCAGACTCCCCTTTATTAAATACAGAGTATATTGCACATGCTCGGAGATCAGATCTGGAAAAGGCCAGTTCCAAGTGCCATGGAACCATCTAGACTCCACTCAGTTGGGGGTTGTCATTATCTAGTCAGATACCACTGTACTTGGGGCTGCTTATCTAGTGTGCAAATCGTCCAAATACCCCCAATACATATTCCCCCCAGCTAGGAATTGTCATTACACGGTGCCAGAGTGACAAGTAAAATAATCAGTCGTGACATGGTGAATAACCTACGCACACAATGATATATATGTATAAAAGTAAAAAATGGTCACGAATATCAAAACTATTAGTATCGAAGTACTGTATATTAAAAGACAAAATAAAATAACTCCAGGCATATTTAAATATGAGAGATCGAACTTATGTTTATGCTGAAGTGCTGCCGAGAGCAGATCCAGAAATATAACACTGAATGACACGGCCGATGCATTCATTCTCATTACTAAAACTGTAAAAACACAGAGATGAAGATGATGTCAGAGCATACAAAATACATCTAGATTTGCAAGATCTAAGTCTGTAAGCATGTAGCACAGACAACACAATAAACCGTAATATCTGAAGTCTTTGAGCACGTCGGAAATAAAATCAGAATGTTGCGTGACGGGTTCCTCAGAGCAAAAATACACTATTGCAGTTTCATATCGTTTGCAACCAAACATTATTAGGAAAACGACATGTAATAAATGGAGGAAAAAATCCCTTTAACTTCCAAAACTACAGGACATGTTCATCTTATCGTTCCTGTGAATTTAGTTGGCAAAGTTGATTTAAATAATATTAAAGGGTGATTGTAATCGTAAGAGTAAAGGCAAGGCACACATGTAATATGTACAGTATATTACATGTGTGCCTTGCCTTTACTCTTACGATTGATTAAATTCCCAAGCAAAACAACGACGATGATAATGAAAGTACGCACAAAAGATTATTACTATAGCTATCACTTCCGAAAACTTATACTACAGCGATCAACGTACTCACTTATCTTTATTAATCTCCCAAGCTGAGTCACTGAACACAAATCCAGGGAAAAAAGTTAACAAGATAACCGTCTAATGGCAGCAAGAAAGGCAGAAGCGAGGCATTAGTCTTGAGTCTTATGCCAGAGAGCTAGTCATTCACTGACGAATATCTCAGTGATGAAGAGCTAAAGATGAGAAAAGCTGTGCTATTTCGAGAAATACAAACCGCAGGACTTTGTATTTTTTCATAAATGGAAGTGCATACTGTAGCTGTGGCACAGCAAGTTAAATATTATCTGACGATAACATACGCGATTCACTGACTTCTCTATCCGTTTCTAAACCTCTTGCACTGCAGCTACATGCCGAACCTCATTTTAGAGTAAGCAGGAACTACGTTGTCCACCGTTGCATGCATGTTAACCTCCCCGGAAAAAAGGGATTAACGAGTAAAACCTTTTCTCACCTGTGAAGACTCCTCATTCCTCTCCGTTCTGTTACTCGAAACTGAACAATAACAAGGAAGTTATGATTCGGATAGAAACCAGTCGTCACGGGTCATGTGACCACAGTGTCACAATTGCCCTGACTTATCTGTTTCTTGGGTAACGGAGAGTCGCGGTAGTCTATTCCACTTTTAACTGAACCAGAGGTTTGGCTGTGAATACTCAAATCTTCTGTGCCTGATTTAAAACTAAAGTATATCCTTAATAATATATTACTTTGTTACAGTTGTCTGACAGATTTATGCTTAGCAAGCATTATCTTCCACTTCTACCCAACATATTTTATTCATATGTTTGCTAAGTACTATATTATGAATACAATATACTGTATTAGCCCTATGTAAAGTGTAAAATGGCGACATCCTGAAACAATCTCCCAACGTTTCAATACAATTCTGTCAACATCCCATTTTCTTCCAAAACAGCATAGTACCTAACATAAAGTTAGGTATTTAAAATCTTTTAATGATATTTTAAAATGTATTGATATTTATTATTTAATTTGCACAAAAACAAATTTACAGCCTGAGTTCTATCTGCAATGTACATTGGTCTTATTTGAGTTGTAATAAACTGCAAAGTCAATAAATACAGTATATGCCTTCCTTAGTTAAGACTGCATATTAAAAAAGAAAGAAAAGAATGCTTTTCAGTTAACAAAGATGACACATTTGATTCAAATGTTCATTAAAATGTAAAGGGGTTGGACACACATATTTACAATATTGCAGAAACACTAGTAATCTGAGAAATTTGCAATTAATGTAACTGGCAAAGAATACAGATAATGAATGAGGACAGGCATGAACACTCGGAGTTGATGGATTTTAAAGGGCTATAAAAACCAAAGGTTTAGAAAGGTTGCATAATTGTACAGAAAACATTTTAGTGTTGTCCAGAGTATTAACTTCCAGCATTGCCATCAGGCACTTAATCCAAGGAATTTCAGAACTGTGGATTGTCATGTCTTTCTTCCAGCAGAACAAAAATCAAATAAAAAACTGAAGTAAAAAGTTAAAAGTAAACTGAAGGCCTTTGCAAAAAAAAAATTCTACAATGTTCCAAATTCTTCAAAAAATGTAATTGCATGCAGGAATTTGTTCCTCAGAATGTCAATACTGCTGTAATTGGGAAGGTACAATATTCCATAGCAGGTGTTTGCAACTGGATAGTACTCGTCAGGGTTAGTAATCTTTTTGTCCATTATAGTAAACCTCATGCTGGACAATCCTCCTACTGGCAACCTATCACTTCCAGTCATGAAGGCTGAAAAAAAAAAGAACAGAAACAGTTTAAGACACCTTAAACAGGAAAAGAGAGCAACAGTCAAATTTTTTTCAGCTGACAAACTTTCACACATGAACAATTATGGTTGTCAAATTTAACATGAGCTGGGTTCATGAGCACTTTAAGAAAGTCCAGATACATCATTGTTGCGAAGATGTACAGTAACAATGCATGTGCAATTCACTCAAAAGATGTCTCTACAATTAACTTGATTTCAATTGATTTCACACATGCTATATCACTACAATTTATGTCAAAAAAGGAGCTCTAAATCCCTTATGCTTAAAAGTCACAACATTAGTAAAATCACAGACATTATGGATAGTGTCAAGATTGCAGCAATCACTAAATCTCTAACATCAGGACTGTTCCCAGTATGAAGTCATACCAGGCCTCTCACCCCTGAAACAGGTGAGTAGCTCTCCATGTATAGAAGAGCACATTCATTCTAAAATCCAATGTGTAGTTTGTAGCCAACTTTACCAAGCCTGTGTGTGTTATCTGCATCCCTCCATGTGATACTTGGTCACTATTTTCTATTCTAAATACATACAGTACACTCTGATACAGTTTTGTAAAATATAAAAATGGTGTGTTCAGACAGGGGAAATAGAATCACATGCTACAATCATGCACTGAACAAAAAACAGGACAGAGACATTGTAAACATTGTTATTTGATTAGTTTCAGCATAAATATTTCCGTCACTGAATACTACTTATATATTGAAGTTTTATTGATTTATTTAAATTTGGTTTCACTTAACATGCACCATTTGACTAATTGTTCAAAGTATATCCATAAAGGCAGGTTTATCAATTGATTTAATAGAATAAATGTATTTTTAGAAATTTTGTCCTTTAATATAATGCATACATACAAAAACATGGTAAATGCATTAATATTTAGAAAATATTTGTCATTTTTAATCATCCTAGTTCTTTTTCTTACTAATAGCTTACATAGAAAGTTCTTCTTCTGTTGTTCAGTAAGTTCAGCAAAAAATACCCAGAAGTTTATGATTGTCTGATCAGTAGGTTGATACTCAATATATCTGGCATTCTGTTAAAAGAAAAAAAAACAGATAGAATAGTTTGACTAAGTTCTGACACTTGTAGATTAGCATAAAAGGAAACAAAGCTGTTGTTTTTCTTTATTGAAAGCAAACCATTATGGAAATAATCATTAGATATTCAAAAGGAGCAGCTGAGATAGTAAAGCTAAACATAAAACATTTGTTTCCGACTGTGTTCAAAACACTACAATAATTACTATTCACGTATCGGCAATTTATTTTCAATTTTAGATGCTAGTAAATTTGCAGTGACAAATGTTCTCTTAAGAGCATTTCAGCTTTTTCTTTAATACTATATGTTCAACATCACCAATTCTGAACTTGTGCTTTTAGTGGTAGAGATCAGAGGAAACAGTATGACAAGCAAGTCTGAAGTGGCTGAGTCTCTCTGGATAAGTCTGACATTTGCATAGTTATTAATCAAAATCCAAAATTGAGCTTCAACATTAAATTTGGGCCACAGGAACAAAGCACAATAAATTACAGTACATACCAGAACTGAAACATTTGTGAAGGCTACATTTTTGCTTAGCCTGTTTCACCAAGTTGTGATTTTGAATCTGAAATGTCTTCTCAGATTAGATTTTTATTAAACAGTGGCTGCTTATGTGTATTAAAGTGCATTTACTAGATAAGAAAAAAATGTTCAGCTAGTCTAGGATGCTACTAGTGAATTGATAATGGAGACTACTTACTTTTTTGAGCTCGTCCCACTCATAATTGACATTCCCATTCAACACTGCCATGAGCTCATCAGGGAGAAATATTTTCCACATATTGTTAGGGCAGCCTGTTGTAAACCCTCTCACAAAATCCTGGAATGGTTTCTGAATGGACTTGTTGAACACATAGTCCACGTATGCATCAACATATTGCTGTCTGTAAATAAATAAATGTTAGTGCACAACCAGTATTTGTTAATGGATTCAAGAAAAAGCAATTTCGAAAAAGGACAAGGATAAGGACATAATCGAGAAGCTTGTGCATATATGGAGCAAATGAACATATTTTAGGGCTAAATTCAATAGTTTTTACCTGTTAAATCTGGTGACTAGAATTTCTCTTCCGTGTGGCACCACCTCATGTCCCTTAACCTGGAAAAAGAAGATGAGTTTAAAACAATTTCAAGAAACTGAATATCAGTGGTGCATCAAGAAAAAAAAACTTACCGTAAAGTCCAAATCTAAGTTTTCTACAGCATCTTCATCTTCGTCAAGAAGTTCTTGCAGGCTCCTGATTAAAAAAGCAGAATAAAATAAAACAGACAATAAATAAACTTAAAAACTTTGGCTTCATGAGAATTTTATACTTCACATTCAGTATACTTCAATTTATTTTGTCAGTGTATGTATGAGGTTTATTAAAACATTTTAGACTGTTAGGAGAACTGAAATCTTATATGATGGATATTTCAGGTTTTACAAAACACATAATGTACAATAAATGTAATAAATGTAGTAGCAATGGTTCATTTGGATATGAAATAAAAGCTTCTGAAATTAAGGCAGAATTTTGAAATCCTGGTAACATATGCCTGTCTTTCATTTGCAGTCTTTCACCCAGTTAAAACTGTCAGATTTAAGGGTATAATCAACACATAATACAATATAAAACAACTATCCATGCACTTTCTAACCACTTCAAATTCAGGGTCACTGTTACGATCCCTGCCTCTCGGCAACGGAGGAGGCAGAAGTAGGTGTAGCCCCTATCCATCAGTTCACCTATCAGTTTTCCCATTCACCACCACACCCCCGTCTCATCCTACTTAAACACCTGTCCTTCCCTACCTCGTTGCTCAGTATTGGTTTTCCTTATCGAGCTTCCTGGTTGCGCTTCTTCTACTCTGTGTTTGTCTTGGATTTCGGCTTACGGTTTTTCCCTTTGGACTTCGGCTTTTCGGATCTCGGCTTGGATTGGTACTTTCACTCTGTCTTGGATAACTGGCTACCTCTGGATTCTCGGATTGCTCTACGGACTACGACTTCGGATCACACTTCGGCTTCGGTACACATCCCCTTTCAGATATCTTGCTCCCCCTGGACTCTCGGCTCGTTCCTACGATTACGGTTTACTTTCGGTTTACGACTTGGCTTTGTTCGCTCCTGCAAGTGGGTTCACTCACTAGTTCGGTCCCTATTACCGAACTCGTAACAGTCACAGGAGGGCCAGAGCCTATCCCGGCAAGCAACACAGCAATAGACACACACACGTTCACACCTTATGCCAATTGATCTCCCAGTATGTTTTTATATTGTGGGAGGAAACCAGGCACCCTGAGGAAACCCATTCAAACACAGGGAGAACACACCAACTCCACAAAGACACGATAGCACCCCAGGTCCAGAACTGAACCCGGAGCCCCAGCGCTGAGAGGCAGCTAACCACTGAGCTTATCATACATATTTTACGTATATTATACACATCATACAATACACTAGAATTTACATCAATAATAATGAGCACACATTTATTTTATATTGTACGTTGAATGCTAATCAACAGAATTCTGCAGACCTTTATTAGAAAATCCAGCCTTTAAGAGAAGATAATGTATGTAGCAATTACCTTGCTTCTATGGGAGACAGGTCTTTCAGGTCTTCCAGGGTGGGCCTCACACCCAACAACTTCTTGAACAGTGCCACAGGGAAGTGGAAATTGACCACACATTGATTGTACAGGGCCATACCACAGATGATCCCCAGCAGAAAGAATATATCAGTGCTGCTGGTCTCCTGTAAGTCAGAGCAAACACAGCTTATTAGAAGAGGAAATCAATGGAAGCCATATCACAGTTTCTGTCCCCCATACCATGTCATTTCTGTCACTCTTTATATCACATCTTGACTTTTAGAAGAAGCAGTAAAGATTTGCCTGTGATTTGACTAGAGCTCACTCATCTTTAAACGATTTCCTATCTAAAGATCCTGTAAAGGAGAACTAATGCCTAGTATTGGAATAGTATCAGTAAAGTGAAATGATAATTGAACTAGCACAGTAACCGTGGCGTCTGATACTGTATGATGTGAGTAGTAGGCTGCAGGCATGAAAAGAGAAAGTAAAAGAGGATCTGTAGACCCTCTGGGTTTTAAAATTGCCTGATGGCCAGTATCTAAAAGCACAATGTACAATACATACCACTTGAATGAACCACATGAGTCTGGAGTCTTCAAAGAGCTCAAATACTCCATGTTCCTGCAAAAGCAGCTCTCTTGCAATGACAGAGAAGAACTCTTGTGATGGGCCACCATGGTCAATACCATCTTCTTCTTTGAACTTCACCTGAAAACATCAATAAACCACATAGTAATCAGACCTCAATTTAATCATTTTCTTGATTGTTAAAGGCTAAGTTTACATACACTTAAAGTGAAACAATATCAACCAAGTAGCACAGAATATATATTTAATTGTACCCATGGGTCAGCTTTAGGCTCTTTGTAATTACAGTACATACAGTACTAAGCACTATGTGCCATATTTGTAACTTTAAATTATGTTGCTAATTGCAATAGTAAACCATTGAAGTTATTTTTTATTTTTGCATTTAAATACCATTTCTGAATTTAGTGCTGATGAAACAATTGCTCTCTTCAGACATTGTTCTTAAAGTTGTTGTATTTTACCATTCAATTTAATAAGTCTACTAATAATTAAATGACAACAATGTCAACATTTTTGATGGCACATGATTTAGATTTATATCTGTCAGGTGCTCAGACATGACAACTTAAAGGGGTTTAACTTCTTGTTTTTTTACAAAAAAATTGTCATTGTAATTTTTTCTTCCATGTGTTCCCAGTATGAAACTGCCAAGTGCTAATTAAATCTGCACCATGAATCTCACACCATCACAGTGAAGACAAATAACCACACACACAATTCCTCTAAAATAAGCACTACTGAGCCATTTCTCCATTTTATAGTGTGGGAACCAAACAGTGCCTTACAGAGTATACCGAATGTAATGCACGGTCACAGGACCACTACAAGTTCCAGAGGTTCCCCAGAGTGATTCAACCAATTGATTCCAATTCCATCCCTTAGGAATCTGAATTACAGTACATAGCCCAGTCCCAGACCCGCAGTGCCAGAGTTCTTAGGCACCTGGGTACAGTGTGTACTGTACAGTATGCACTAGTAATGGCTATCTTTACATAGACCCTAGGCTGTACATTTGAAGTAACTAAATGAAACAGAATTTGTTTACAGATTTACTTTCTGTTGATCAGAAGAAAATTCAGACAATTTAGGTATTTTAAATTTCTATTTCATTCTTGCGATTTCAATGTGAATGTTCAGTATTTGTGTTTGTACTGGAACAACCTTCAGTGGCCAGTAATAGTTGCTTGAACTGCTCCTTAATTGCTGCAAGGTGTCACTCAGGAGGTTCTCCCTGTTCACACATATGTTGTTTCCTCCAATGGGATTCCGGCAGGCATTATCCTGTGGTCAAAAAGCAGATTCCAAAACAAAAACTTCTAATAATAAATAAACAATATACTGTATAACATTGCATCTTATACGTGGAAAAAGGTTATTACAGTACAGTATGTCTCTATTTTTAACCAAAAAACAAATAATATTTAATGCTACAATATGTTGTACAATATGTTTTGTCTCATTATTCTGCTTTTTTTAACTTATTTTAAACTTCCAAAGCATTGCTGATCAAAAAGGTTTGAATTATGAGGAAAGGGAAAAAACTTACACAAAGAATTGCAAAGTTATTCATACTGAACATGAATTGTTTAGCTTTCATGTCAAAGATGCATGGATATGCTGTCAGCTTAACCAGATTTCTCTGAAAAGAAGAAAAGTAAAAAAGATTTTTTACTTTTTAACAAAAACATTTTTCACATATCTGCAAGACTAAGGCAAATATTTAAAAACACACCAGATACTTAGCCTTTTTCAATATCATCTTCCAGTTCTCCGGGTGAACTCTTCCTAACTGAAAAGACACACAGTAAGTTAAATATCATAATGTCATTATTTCCTTATGGAAAAGAAAAGCACAGGGAAAGTTTACTGCTACAGGAAACGTTTATATAACAATCACTTGGAAGCAAAACACAAAGCTGTATCTGATTTTTAACAGACAACTAGACAATAGAAAACAGCCTTTTTTTCAAATATATTTTGAAATGCAGGGACACAAGTGAGCTAAATTATTTGTTTTTAACAGTCAAGAAATGCTCAGCCCCTGTGAACAACTTGTGTTGTGCAAATAGATTATTTTTACTGCGAGCATCCTTTTATTGTGATTTGTTGACAATGAAATGCTACCTGAAACCATTCAAGGGGATGACAGTAATATTATTTTGAGAATTTAGGGAAATAAAATGTCAAGAGTTCACTGGAATCAGATAACATTAATATTCATTAAGTTATTTGATAATTAACAGTTGACTTAAACTTTGCCCAAGCACATTAAGCAAAAACAAAGCTGGGCACAGGGCACAAATCATTATCATTCATTTATTTTGGTTCTGGTTAATGACCATGAAGATAGAGAATAAAAAATTAAATGGAGAAATATACATATAAACAGAACTCATTAAAGTTCAAGCTTAAATCCAAATAAAGTGCAATACTACAGAAAACATTCTGTAATGTTCCTATACTTTCATTGTGTATTAAATAATACTTACAGACTGAATGAGGAGTTGGATCTCATCTATGTTGAAATTACTGTCTTGAATCCTGTTGCCAGCTTTGGAGTTTACCTGTATACAAGTATTACAATACAATAAAGTTTATACAATCCATTTATCCACTTTCTTACAGCTTTATCTATTTCAGGGTCATGGGGGAGCAGGAGTACAGTATATCTCGTCAAGCATTGGCCACAAGGCAGCATCGCTTACCACTGTACCATTGTGCTACCCACAGTGAAGAGAGTATTGAGGGTAATTGTATTTCTATGTCTTTTAAAAATGTTTTATACTAACAAGAAAGCAAATTCCATTAGGGCTTTTTCTTTAAGGATTAGTCAGGAATATGGAATTCTTCATAACATTAAAAAGATTGGCTTTTCAGAACTGTGAAAATATGCAGTAAACATTTAAAATCTGTTTTGGTTTTGTATGCTTGAAAAAGATGTTTCCAATTTTGCTGTTTATTACACTAGACAAAAGAAGAAAAAAAAGCATGTGACTCAAAACTGGATGTTACATTGAAATAGTTTCCTAGTATGAAATAGCTTTCCCAATTTTTTTTGTGAAAAGCAACTTTTTAAAAAAAGTTTATAAGGTTCATAAGAAATGTACTACTTTAATTTAATTAACTGGCATTAAACTTGCTTTGCACATCATGCAAATATATCAATTGGTAAACTACAAATACTGTAAAAGTAGCATCTACTACATTAAGAAAATCAAAAATCTATGGCTGCTTCTCTTTGCATAGTTGTGTCCTGGAGCGGTGGCAAAACTCTTCACAGTGAAAAATTCCTTTATGCACGTGGAAAGCTTTGGTCTTAGGCCTGTATTATTTTCATAATGCCAGTAAAGTTTTATGGGTTATACATACCTTATATAACATCTGCAAAACACACACAGTTTTCTGAAGTGATGACCAGTCAGTGGAATAATCTGTTCTCATCTTGTACAAGTAACGACTAGATACTGTGTGGAAGATCTTCACAAGTGTTTGAAAGAAGGAAAGAGGAAGTGTAGACCATAAACCCTCTGAAAACAAACAAATAGTGATCTATTATCATATGAGAAACACACAAGGATTTTCCATTCCTTCATTTTCTAACCCCTTCTTCCAATTCAGGGAAGCCAGAGCCTATCCCAGCAAGCAATGGTCACAAGGTACAGTTGTCACGGACGTCCAAAGGGACTAACCGTGGGGAGCAGGAGAGCGGAAAAAGACCCATATGCGTAGCGGCGAGACGGGAAAAAGGCCCGGGCTCATTAGTGCAAAGAGTTCAGGAATGCCGTATAGAAACCAATGCCCTAAGGGAGCGGACGTGGGACGCCCTGGTGCTAGGCGGGTCTCAGGACATCTGAACCTCAATGCTGAGCGAGGACAGAGTGCAAGACCCGGAAATATATAGCCCAAGGGAAAGAGAGGGACAGGAAGGACAGCAGACCGGAAACTAGGGACAGGACAGAGAAGGAGCGCCCTCTGGCTGCAGAGGGCGTGACAACAGTGCACCGTGGATGGGACACCAATCTATCACAGGGTACACACATTCATGTCAGGGCCAATTTGCCCTGATGCCAATGAACCTATAAGTATTCTTGGAGCGTGTGAGGCAACCAGAGCAAGCAGAAGAAGAAGACGAAGACTAGGAAGAAGAAGAAAAAGCAGAAGAAGAGACTTTTTTAACTGTATATTAAAAACCTTAAACAAAAGATAGGTCTTTAAATGTTGCAATTGCCAGCAGCAGTCACAGTGATTTCCACAAATATTGTGTTACGCAGAAGAAGGCTATGTTTCCCATTGTGTCGTCTAGTTTTCAGCACAGTGAGAAGTCCTGAATCAGCAGATCTCACATTTGGAGCTATATTAAAGTTGTTTGCCAAAGATAGCTGTTCTTTATACTTGTCACCAATCCAAATATTATACTCATGAAAAACTTAGACAAAAAAAAAACATTGATACAAAATTAGCAAAAACAAGCTGCTTCATTTAAAGACACTGAAAAATCTCTTAGTGTCCTAGAAGAAATGCATTTCAACTGTTAGATTTGTGAATCTTACCAAGGAGTCTACAACTGCTGGGCACCAGCCCGAGAATCCTATCAGCAAGGGACACTGAGATGTCTCGACGGCTCTGTTCTGTTTTTAAAACTCTGAGGAGCTCAGGTAAAATCAGGTAGACCCTGAACATTTCTACATTATCAGGATTTGAACACAAAGAAGGAATAAGCTTGTGCAGGACCACAGACTCCACCTGCAAGGAAAGAAAATGTTTAATCATTATATTTAACTATTGTAATGATTAGTAAAACGTTTGTGATTACTTACACTTTGGAATAGAACAGACACTTTTGAAGTTGTGTTACAAAGATAGCCATTCACTAACAATCACATTTTTGAAAATCCTCAAGGGCACTGAGGAAGTCAGAACAATAGACTTCTAGAATCAGAGGTGAAACACAAACCAGTGAACACTACAGGAAACTATGTGGAAGTGCAGTAAGAACTGAGATTAGGAGGCAAAGGATTGGAGGATATGGAAATGGAAGAAGCTGCAGCCATGCTGTTGAAGCCGATACCCTGGCTTCTTACAAGAAATGGCTGGATGAGATCCTCAAATCAATTAGCTACTAACTACCAAATGAGTTAAATGGACAGAATGGCCATCTCTCCTTTATAACTGTTCTAATATTCTTATCAAGACATAAAGACAAATACTACAAAATTAGCCAAATTGTAGCTTTCTGTAATAATAAGAACATCTGTAATATAAGAACATCAGACATAACAGGAGGCCATTCTATTCTTCTTGCTCATTAGGTCTTCTAAGGGTTTCAACCTACAGTTTTTGAAGGATTGTAAGGAATCCAGCAGCTGAGTAACTTGTTCCAAATTCCATAACCCTTTATGTAAAGAGGTCACTCCTGTTATCACTTTGAAATATACTTATTTGTAATTACCAGTTATAATGTTAGGGCCTTGTTTTTCTTAATCCACTGTGCTCACTTTGAGCTTGCTTGGCTTAATACCAGGCAAGCAGAGGTCACTCTGGCCACACAGTAGGAGAACTCAGAGACTTGCATTGCTAAGCACACTGCATGTCTATATTATTAATTGAGCTAATATAAGTCAATTACCTTTCTTCTCTGGAGCTCTTCAAAAGGATAATTTACAATTCCAATCAACTTTGAAGTTGAAAAACATAATCCTATCAAAGAGATTAAATTTACCTGGGCTAACACTTTGTCATTTGTTGCCAGCTTTTCAAAAGCCAAACGTGCAAGAGACAAATCCAGACCCGACAATTCCTTTGTTGTTCTGTAATGTCTAATTAGGAGATAAAAGCATTTTAATATTAAGACAGACAGACAAATGAATATTATAAATATTAAGTCATTCTTAGCTCTTGTCATATTGCAATGCTATGGCAGGCAGGTTAAGGGTGAAACAGTTGTCCATGTCTACTAACCTGGACTTCATATGTGCAGAAGGCAGACTGATAAATCATATGATAGTTCCCTCTTTTATCATGCGATAATAAAAGCTAAGAGCTAATTAGTAACAGAATTGAAGAGATTTATACCATTTACCATCTTTATGTCTCATGATGAAAACGGTAAAGACTTCTCATTCAGGAAAGCCCATTCAAAATCCGACCAATAACATAATATTTTGACAGTAATACACATATAGTTTTACCTTTCTCCAAGAAAGCTTCCATTAAGACATGAAGCAGATGAGAATATCCTTGTAATTTCTCTGAGAAACATAAAAAATTACATTTATTTTTTAACATTGATTATTAATGTATTTTAAGTTCTTCAAGTATGGATGAAAATGGAAGTTGAATGCACAAATGGAACATTCACACTCACTTCTTTGTGTTTCTCCATGATTTAGGGTCACTCCTAGAGATCCATTTTTCAATCACTCTATCAGTTACTGTTAAAATCATTTTATTGTCATTCCAAGATGTACTGTTTGCAGAATGTTCTGTACTCTATAAGAAAAACAAATTGTAAGAAAAAAAACATTCTTACAAAAAAGTTTCAGTTTTATGTTGAGTGTGAAATACTGAAGTAAAACTTGAAAATAAAAAAGTTATTTCACTCCATATTACCTTAACTGGAGAGCACAAAACAAAAGACTGGTTTCCTCCAGCAACAATCCGATCTATTCTGATTTTGCTGCTTGTTTCTAAAGTAGTAAAAACACAAGATTGTTAATGATGAATCACATATTATTAGCAATCATACTGCATCTGTTAAATCAAGAAATTAAACCAACAGCTCAGGTCTTATTAAACTGTCATAAGTCCAGGCATTATGTAAATTTAGAATATTGTAAATTTCACTGGATTGAACAATTGATTTGTGCTACAGGAGGATGTCTCACATTTCCTTTAATCTCACATAATTATCTGGCACTGTGAATATAAAATAATGTACACTACTGCACACTATTTTTCTGACATTTTTTAATAACAATATGAATATCATTTCTTTTAATAGATGAGGTTTAAGTTTATAATATAACAATAATGTAAAAATGTTCTTGGAAATACAGTAGGTGCTCAAGCAGCTCAGTAAAAACTGGAAGACACTGTGAGACTGAAGGGCTCAGGAATGAGGTATAATTTCTACAAACAATCTCAGAAATTGAACTACTGACACTTCATAATCAACAATTTTGTGAAAAACAAACTTCTGTTTTCAAAAGGCAACAAGCAAGTGTTTTCGGTGCTGTAGAAGGTTTCTTGAACTTAAGCTTCTCATTCTTAGTTTTTTTTTTTATTAAACACTGCCCTGTACACAAAAGCAGGTGGCAGCAGGTGGCAGTATAGGCACTCATTTTGGAGAATGACCCCTATGGCTTAATCATGTATTGCGACATATCCCTGGAATGTGCATAAATAATAAAGGCTGTAATAAATCAGCAGAACAGACTCATACACACCTGGACGCAGTTCAACAGGGAGAGGTACCTTTTGATTTCTGGAGCCACAGTTTCCCAGTTGTCTTTGCTCCCCACAACCAAATGAATAGATTGTTTTAGAGGAGGAAACGTAAGTAAGTGTATGATACCTAGAAGTATGAGAAAGAATAAAACATCAGATAATAAAAGTTCAATGAGTTACAAGTAATAGGTTTATTCCATGCTGAAAAGAGAAGAAAGAAAACACAACGTTTCGCTTGTTTGCAGCCTACGCATGCTGACGCAGCTACCAACCTGAACTAGTTCAATTAGTTAAATATGTAACTATAAAGAGTTCAATTAGAGTGCTACACTGTACTCTAGTATTAATATTACTAACATTTTATGCTAATAAACTTTATTTAATATAGAAATCATGTCCATGCACATTACAATGCACTGAAACATATCCCCAAAAATTATAAAGAAAAACAAAACAAAGAAGATACAATAATCATAAAAGGTCCTTTTGAAATGTATGCTTTCAGACTACACATAAAAACTCTCAGTTTGGCCAATTCCCTGACTTCTATTGGAATACTGTTCCAGAGCTGTGGGGTTTAATACTGAATGTCTCCTCACCCATAAAATGATGGACAGTGGAGGAGACTAAGTAAACCAGTATCAGCTGAGAGAAAGCTGGACAGGGAGGAGTAAACAGATAATATATCAAATAGATACTGAGGAGCCACAACATGCAGAGGCTTTAATGCAAGCAAAAGGATTTTGAAATCCAAATTAAACCTCACAGGAAGGTGCAAGATCTCAGGATTCTTGCAGAAAAAATTAAAAATAGTGTGGAGAGTAGCTCTTGGGAAAACAAACACATTAGGTACTTTGTTCACTTTAGAAACAGAGAACATTGGATGCAGTGCAGCAATATTTCTAAGATGAAAAAAACTGATCTTCTTGGTGTTCAAAAGTCAATCCAGGATTGACAATAACCCCAAAATGCTTCATGTTGGATGTGCATCAGCAATGTCACATCAGTGGAGTGTATTATGTAAATGATAGGAGGTACCTAATAACTTAGTCTTATTACAATGAAGTTGAAAAACAATGTGTTACTCAAGCTTTGATTTAAGACTTGCGATCAAAGAGTGTTGAAACAGCTTCCTCAGTATCACCTATACCGTGGAAAGTGACTTGAATGTCATTGACAAATGATCATTCATAATATGTACAGTAGTGCTAGTATTTTGCCAAGACTATACATCTAATTTGCTTTATTTATAATGCATATAAATAGCAGAGGGAGCAGTACTGAGCCCTGTAGAACACCAGATGTAAGCAACCTAACCAAACAGTTGGAGACTGTGTTCATGCTGAGCAAAATTTAAATGATTAAAGAGCAGTGAGAGATATCAAGCAAACAAATGTAGCACTAATCTGAGGTCTAAGATAGAGAGTGGACGAGGACCTGCTAGAGTGAGGGGACCATTAGGTATGTTAACAAGAAGAGGTTAAGTGCTATGCGATTGCCTTAGGTGTCACACTACCTGCCACAGGCTATCTGAGACACCTTCTTCCCCCACAGCTCAGCCACCAGCCGAGGCCTCAGTTCATTCCTGAGCGAGTTGTGTCCGAGCTGCCCATAGCTTCCCGATCCAAATGTGAACACTAGGCCACCCTGGCACAACAAGGAATCATAAATTCAAAACTTTAAAACACTCACAACTCATTGGCTCATTACAATCGTTAACAATTGTATTTTCTAAGCAATTATACATTAGAAATGTTTACATCTATGTTTCTCAACTAAGATCTGTGGATTAAACTGATAATAATAATAATAATAATAATAATAATAATTGCTTACACTTATATAGCGCTTTTCTGGACACTCCACTCAAAGCACTTTACAGGTAATGGGGACTCCCCTCCACCACCACCAATGTGCAGCATCCACCTGGATGATGCGACGGCATCCATAGTGCGCCAGAACGCTCACCACACATCAGCTCTCAGTGGGGAGGAGAGCAGAGTAATGTAGCCAATTCATAGAATTCATAGAGGGGGATTATTAGGAGGCCATGATTGGAAAGGGCCACTGGGAAATTTGGCCAGGACACCGGGGTTACACCCCTACTCTTTTCGAGAAACGCCCTGGGATTTTTAATGACCACAGAGAGTCAGGACCTTGGTTTTACGTCTCATCCGAAGGACGGCACTTGTTTACAGTATAGTGTCCCCATCACTATACTGGGGCATTAGAACCCACATGGACTGCAGGGTGAGTGCCCCCTGCTGGCCCCACTAACACCTCTTCCAGCAGCAACCTTAGTTTTTCCCAGGAGGTCTCCATCCAGGTACTGACCAGGCTCACACCTGCTTAGCTTCAGTGGGTTTCCAGTTGTGAGTTGCAGGGTGATATGGCTGATGTCATAAGTGATGCAAAGAAAAGCATAATGTGTCTGTAACCCTACTGTCACAGTTCAGGTTTGTGCCTAGTAGAAATAAGAAACATGTTGTGACATGTTTAGATCTGGTAACATTTGAATTGTGTTAGAGCCATAACCATGTGATACCGACGTCCAGCACCTTGGCACATTTGCAGTTTGAAATTCAATTAAAAAAAATCAGTAAACCTTTGTCAGAATGGCAGTGTGCTCCTCTCCACAAGATATAAAAACAGTCCCTTTGAATGCCAAAGACCGCACTGGGGTTGGGATATCTCTGTCTGAAGAAAAAAAATAACTTTATTAACTTTATTATAAATAGTCACTTTCAATACCCATTTATCTAATTCAGGGTCACAGTGGCCTGAAGTCTATCCCTGGAAAGCACTGGGCACAAGGCAGGAGCCAATTAACCTACATACAGGTTATATATATACAGTGGTGTGAAAAATAAAAAAAAAAAGAAATCAGGAAGGGGACAAACACTTTTTCACACCACTGTATACAGTAGGTTATAATACAGAGATACTTTAAATACTCAGACATATTGTGTTGTGTATGGTGGCTAATAGGTGACTTTTGGATTAATTCCTAACAGCAATATAATTTTTTCATTATAAAGAGGTACATCTACAAAAAAGCACTAATTGAAATGACTGTTTCAGCAGCACTGTTGTATGAACTTTGTATTTTCTATATTTTTATTTTTATTTACTGTGTTTTCTTTTAAAATTTTACAGATATTCAAGCAACTCATGTGGAATTACTGTATATTCATGTGCTCTCTACATTGGTCCTCAAGCTTCTGTAGAATGGAAAATGTCGACAAGCTAAAGCTTTACAAATACAGTTCTTAGGATTTTGATCAACCAACATTAAATCAAACCTTAGGACCACCTACTAAACTAAAATTAAAAATCCAGTACTAATGGCTACTTTTGTTTTTCTAAAGGTTTTGTTGTGGAAATACACCATGAAATTCATCAGTGGAACTTTTGTAAGGCAGTGGGATTGAAATTTTGATTTAATCTGGTTCCCTTGTTCATTCGAATCCAAAATCTTCACAAGTTCACAAAACAAGGCAAAAATTGCCATGCATATTGCTAACTTGTAAACTTCAGTATTCCAGGTCCCCCAGGCCCAGCTATCCTGCGCTGTTTCTGCCCCAGCACACCTCAGTGAACTATGTTTGACACACTGGAACTATACTGCTAAATAAAGAGAATATTTTGTCTAAATTGGAGTAAAATGCTGTCACCTTGCGTATCCCCCAGCCCCAGCTGTCCCGCGCTGTTCCTCCCCCAGCCGAACACGGTCCCGGAGAGCGAGAGAGCGAAGCTGTGGTCTCCCCCTGCAGCGATCTGAGCAACGGGGATGCCCAACAGGGTTTCCAGGAGCTTGGGAGAACCGCACTGTTCTACCTGAGGTTCTCTCCAATAAAACACTTCACCTTCTGTTTAAAACATAAGATTATAGCATTAGATTTTAATGCAATACATTGTAACTAATTTATTTTATGAACATTTTAGCTAGAGAAGAAACATTCCAAGACATAATTTTACTACTGTTTTACTATTGCTGCTCATGCTATTATTAGATCTGATGCATATCCGATTGTAATTCATAATGCAAATCATATAATAGCAGCTTCTGCTTCTTCTGAAACCTGCTTTTCAGTAGAGTTTGCTCTTAGATTGTTCAGCTCAGCCACTAAAAGCTCCATGATGGCATAGATCAAAACTAAACTTTAGCCTACTGCTAAGTGCGAATTACAACACACAGTTCCCACTGGAGGGCTTCTGTCGGGTGAATTCTATTGGGCAGAGTCCAATCAAAATAACCCAGCAAGGGCTGGGTTTGCAACTCTTGCCTGGTTTATTGGAATTCACCTTGAATACACTCTTTTAATGGCATATTGGTAAAAAAAGTCATTTTTTTAATTTTGATGTTAATTTAGCAAGGCTGTTCCATACCTTTTGTCAGCACAAGGGAATGATAGTTCCCACAGGCAACTTGAATGATCTGTCTGTCGTTTAAGCTTGTCAGTAGCCTAGCAAAATACAAAATTGTTAACATTGTTTTTGTTATTTAAAATAAACCAGAACTCTTTGAGTTCTAATTACATACGGTATATTTCTCACTTATGACACTACAGAAATATTTCCTTCACAGAAAGCATGAAGGGTGACAGAGAGGTAATCAGATCACTGCATTTGCGCAGCTCATTCATCCCAGCTGAAAATACAGGAGAATCCCCACTTGGTGAAGTCATTAAGCACCAACAGCCCCACTCCACAGCAGTTTACATGAAAATGTGAGGCACAGACATTCACATAGCTACCTAGATAGTTTTACAACCATGCAAAATAGTGCAAAAATACAAAAACATGAGAACTAATGGAGATTTGAAAGAGAGAACATTAGTTACCTGAGGTTTTCCACATGAGATTCTTGGCAGTTTGACTCGAAAACTTTGCCTGTTTCTGAAACCAGCACAATTTGAGATGCCCTGCAGTCCAGAAGGTGGATTTTTTCCTTCTTCAAAACAAGGGACACTGCACAGTTCCAAAAATATAGTGTTATTTATGTTTAACTGTATGAGTCCAAAATTACTTACCAAGTCTACAATAAGACGCAAATACATTATAAATACAATGGAAAATCCAAATCAACAAATCATAATATGCTTAAAGGCAATGTTGGAATTCCTTCTTGATGCTCAAGCGTTTTTCTAAAATATTCCATTTAAATTCCTACAGAGGGCGCTCCATCCCCATAGACGGCATTCTTAGCCTGCGTAACTGCACTTTGTATGATAGCAAATTTACTGACGCTCTAATGAGCAGCTACTTAACTAAATCATTTTTATAGTCTAACAATCTTTACTGAATATATAAATAGCATACGAAAGACTAGAATGATATTAACAACCTTTCAAGTTTTTTACTCAATTGCGTCGTACAATCAAACTAGACTCTTTCAGAAATACAGTGCCAAAATCTAAAACAATAAAAATATACAAAATATATATAAATTACTGTACAAAATAAAAAATAGTACAAAACGCTAAATGAAATCTGTTAACTGTAGGCAAACAACCAATACAATACTTGAGAGGTTTTTTATATTTATACTACTAATAACAATAACAGCAATAATATTTACTTGTTTTTCTTCTCCGAGCTTGATTTCTCCCATTTCCTTTAATCCACACGGAACCATTCCCATTGTGTTCAATAAAAGCAATTACTCCGTTTCCAGCACAAATGTCAGCTATCTTGGGTTTTCGAGGCACCATTTGATGGAGATCTGAGTTAACGCCATCAACCTGAAGAACACTATCTTCTAAACCCAATTCCCGACGAGTAGTTTCTCCCCAGCAAAACATTACGAGAACCACAAAATGTCCAGTGATAAGCAATTTTTCCTTATCCTTCTGCTCAGAGAAGCTGTTGTCACGGTCTGCACCGAAACTGCCGAAAAGTTATAATGAAGGAATAGTCAGGTTTCTTCGTTTTATATACCATGAGTCCATCCGCATTTGTCACAGCTCTGATGCGAACTCTGTCTTAGGATCCAGCCCCTTGCTTATAATATCTGGTCCAAACCCCTCCTACTGTACCTGTTCTAGAAATGTAGAAATGTCATGTTCTCATGAATGGACTGTTTTTTAATTAAAAAAAAAACATTTATCCTAAGCAACCACACATGAAAATCAGCACCATTATCAAATAAAAAACAAATACAATACAAGTACAATAGGTACAAAAGACACTTTTTGTTTGAAATATTAACTAAAAAAAACATGTTTTTCAGTGTTTAATATTCGTATCCTACTACCATCGTTTTACTTAATAAAAATATATTTAGTAAATTTAGTTAAGTGCTTTGTATTAGAAAAAATAGAACAGCAAATAAAGATGATTTAGTGTTTTCGCCAGTGTTTACATCTGGAAATGGAAAACGAAACTTCATGAAAATTACTTCATGAAAAAGAAAACGAAACTTCCCAGTGTTAATCACTCCGAAAACGAAACTTGGGAGAGTATGACGTTTTACCTAAAATTCCTCTAGATGTCACTATCGGGTACATAATCGTTAAAATCTAACACCTGAAACGTTTTAAAAAAACGTTTGTAACATGCTTTAGAAGATAGAGGACTTAATCTGAAACATTTTAAAAACTAAAAAAAAATTATAATTATCAAATGTATTACTTATATACTACTACAGCAACTTTTAATAATAATTTCTTACATTTACAGTACATCGCGCTTTTCTGGACACTCCACTCAAATTGTAAAAACTGTAATTTAATCATTAAGGGAGTCGAACCAAGTCGAACAGGTTTTCCTACAACTTCTGATCCGACTCAGTTTTGGACAACAATTATTAAAAGCTTCAATATACAACATACTGTAGGAATGCCAAAAGTCTCAGGGGAAAAAAAGATGCAGATAGGAACTAATTATCACTCGGCCTAAAGTGCCTTTGGGACCCAAAATCCAGCACCAAGTGTAAGAAACGTCTAAGTAGTGTGGGAATGCTGGAAAATATCTGGTCTATACCCCTCCTACTATAATCGTTTTACTTAATAAAAATATATTTATTATATTTACGCATTGTAACGCATACGTCCATCAGTGAGTGTGTAAGAGCCGGATTACCAGGTGACGTCACCGCCCTTCCCTTTAATAGCAGGGCCCACAGCCGCTGGGCTAAAGAGAGATCTCTTCGCCTCACCAGGTGGGTCCTTGTTGAGTGACGTCAGAGGCCTGGGTTCGTCCCCGATGGTGGGGAGCTGACCAGATACGGTGGTGGCAAGGGTGCCCACCTGAACCCCGCAGTGTTACAGTGTGTTACAGTATATTTAGTTAGGTACTTTGTATGAGAAAAAATAGATCAGTAATTAAAGATAATGTAGTGTTTTCGCCAGTGTTTACATATGGAAAGGGAAAACGAAACTTCATGAGAATTACTTCATGAAAAAGAAAAGGAAACCGTTCCCAGTGTTAATAACTCCGAAAACGAAACTTGTGAGAGTATGACGTTTTACCTAAAATTCTTCTAGATGTCACTATCGGGTACATAATCGTTAAAATCTTAGACCTGAAACGTTTTACAAAACCGTTTGTAACATATAGTATTTTAGAAGATAGAGGACTTAATCTGAAACATTTTAAAAACTAAAATAAATTATAATAATAAAATGTATTACTTATATACTACTACAGGTACTACTACTAATAATTTCTTACTTTTACAGTACATAGTGCTTTTCTGGACACTCCACTCAAACTGTAAAAACTGTAACTAATTTAATAATTAAGGGAGTCGAACCCAGTCGAGCAGGTTTTCCTACAACTTCTGATCTGACTCAGTTTTGGACAACAATAATTGAATGCGTCAATATACAACATACTGTAGGAATGCCAAAAGTCTCGGGGGGGGAGATGCAGATACATTAGGAACTAATTATCACTTGGCCTAAAGTGCCTTTGGGACCCAAAATCCAGCACCAAGTGTAAGAAATGTCTAAGTAGCGTGGGAATGCTAAGCCCAACCCTAGTTGGGGTTTCAACTGAGCAATCCTGTAATCTGTCTCTGAAGCCCTCTAGTCAGATTTGACAATGTTCCTCAAACCAAAAAGTATGAGTCTCAAACCTCTTAGAAATTGATTGTTTTTATGGGGTCAACCCTCCACCACTATCTGATAGCAGCCATATCACCCTGCAACTCAAAACTGACAAACCACTAAAGCTAAGCATGTGTGAGCCTAGTTAGTACCTAGATGGGAGGCGTCTTAGGAAAAACTAAGGTTGTTGCTGAAAGTGCTGTTAGTGGGGCCAGTAGGGGGTGCTCACCCTGCAGTCCATGTGGGTCCTAAGAATGGGGACTATGCTGTAAAAAGGTACTTTGTTCTTTGCATACCACAGCCTATAAAAAACACTAAGGAGTCAAAGCAATGAAAACAAAGTAGGGAGGATTTGCAGAAAAAAACTCAGGTAATACGTAGATTTGAACTACAGTACAGTTCCAAAAAATATTGCATTATGTTCAATTATGACAGGAATTTTAAGGTATACACAAATGTTAATAAAATCAAAACATCCAAATAACTTTTGAAGCATTAAAATAATGTGTGATGAGCAAACATGATAAAAAATGCTTTCAGCAACATTTCTGGAAAGGGCTTCAACAGGTCTCAACTTCTGCAATACAACACATACCAGGAAACTGCTTTTTCTCTTTATCAAGATTGTAGAATACAGTTCAAAAGCTTCTGACAGTCTCAACTGTTGGGTGATTTCCTTGAAACTTTGCAGTCTACCAAGAAAGCAAAAAGATTCTAGCAAATAAACAAAAAAAATGGTTTTACTACTTTAAAGCCAGATACAGTTTGGCATGTTGTTAATAAATATAATTTTGTCTTAAAACAAATTATTTTTATTAGAATTTACCATTTGTATTTGGCAGGAACATTACAGATGCATTACAGATGCATTCTTGAAAGGTTTCACCATAATTTATAAAATACTCTGTACCATGTGCATAAAAAGAAGGCTTAAAGGAGATTCTTGTGACTCCCTTACAAGCACCACTGTCCCTATATCTTTTTTTACTTTTGATGAGCTAAAAGCAGAATGCTAATGTGTTTTGATCACAGTATTTGGTATTTATGATATCTCATTTTCCATGAACCTTTTAAAAATTATACTAAAATATCAGTTGTTTTTTATGATTCATGATAGAATTTATGTCTGTTCTTCTTCTTCTTCTTCTTCTTCTTCTTCTTTTTTGTCTAGTTATGTTTTTCAGGGGGGCAATAAAGTTTGATAAACAACGAGTGAAAACTGTTTTCCTTCATATGAATGCCTAAACCCCTAAGCCAAATCCAGGATTTTACATATATTTGATGGTAACCAATGTTATCCATGTAACCAATGTAATTAATGTTTCTAATGTACCCAATCTGTCACGAACAGTTCTTTCCGGGCCCTATGCAGACGACACAATCCGAGGTAGTGAGGAAACACAGGGGAGAAAAGCATGCAGGATACGGGAATAAAAACAGGGAGGCGTGTCCAAGGAGTGCTGGTGGTCAGGGAAGTTGTAGCGAGGCAAACAAATCCAGGGACCAGTCCAAAGAGATATCCAAAAACAAGCATAAGTCCATGGCCAGGCGATCCATCCAAAACAGTAGATTACAAACCAGAACCGGGTCGGGACCGGCAGGGGGAACGGGAACAGGCACAGAAAGTTAAAAGCATAACGGAGCCAGACGCATCCAGGACCCGGGCTCGCATGATGCGGAAACCAATGCAGAGCCCTGATTAGTGTCAGCGTCTGGCTTTTAAGGGGGAACTGAAAAGGGGCTGGAATAAGGAACAGGTGCGGGGAATGAGACAAAACAAGGAAGAGGCGGAGCGCCCTTAAGGGGGAGGGACTACAATTGTGATACAATCTACCTGCAGTACTAAGTGTTCTCAATGTACCCTCTGTACCTGGTGTGCTCAATCTACCCAAGTATTCAGTAATGTCAATGTATCCAATGTACCTGGTGCTGCTAATGTACCAGTGAACCCAATATGCCCAAGGTATTCAAAGTTCCTAAAGTACACAATGTTCCCATTGTACTCAATGTACTCAATTACCCCCTGACCCCATCTACCCAACATTCTCCACGTAACCAATGTAATCAATGTACTCAATGTACCTGATGTACCCAATGAACCCTATCCATCTGTGTCCACAATGTACACAATGTACCCAGTGTACTCAATGTACTAAATTTACCGGATGTATTCAATGTACACAATGTTTCTGTTGTACTCAACGTACCCATTTTACTCAATCTACCAATGGACCTAGTGTACCTGGTGTACTCAAAGTAGCAAATTTACTCGATGTTATTAATATTCCCAATTTACCTAGTGAACACAATGTATACAGTGTACTCAATGAACACAAAGCACCAGAGAACCTTGGTTTACTCAATGTTTTCAATGTACTCTATGTATTCCATGTACCCAGTTTTCTCAGTGTACCCAATGTACTCAATATCTTCCCCATTTTGTGGTTCTTCATCCCATTTTCTGCCCTCAGTGGACTCAGTGTA